TGGACAGGACACCATTTATTAAGGCACAGGACCAAAAGGCAGGACTCCCCATTTCTATTTTCAGCTCTTGTAGTGACAGAATTTGCCTTGGGAGATGATTTTGGCTCAGACCGAGGGATGTGGAAACCTGAGGGCTGTGGAAACCCGGAGTGAGGCATTTAGGCTTGTGTTTAGCCTTGTAAATGAACAGCCAGGTTGTAAGTCACTGCAGGATTGCTTACATGAATAAAGATGATAGATGCTCCTGGCTAAGAGTAGGTGCCATATGACAGTTTTTATCCCTGGAAAAGCCATGGCTTTCTCACAGTTCTGCTTTTGATTCAGTGGAGGTTTAAACTGAGCTGTAAATACTCCCATTCCAATTTTGAGGCTCTCTGAGCACTAAAAGGCATTTGCCAGTCTCTGTTTCTCTTTGATACGGATGTTCTTTCACCTTCACTCATTGTCATTGCTGCATTTTCCTGGCCTTTGATTTCCATTGAAGTTTTAGGTGCTTGAACTGCAGCATTTTACAGAGACCGCAGCAAATGGATTGCTGGGATTGCAGATGGATTGCCCGTAAGGATGCTGGTTTTATTTTAGCACAATCATCAATGCCTTTTTTTATATACCCAGAGTAATATTCATTGTGCATCTCTTGAATGCCTGTAGTAAACTGCTCTTTTTAGCTTTGCTCCATCTAATTTAACAAATAATTAACGTCCCAGTTCCAGGGAAGGCCAGCAAAGTGGGCAACAGTTAAAAAGTTACAAGTTTTGTCACCTCCTTGTGTTGTATCCATCTCCATCGCATCCAAGAATCTGGTTGCTAATTAGTGGTGCTCCACCAGAGGAACCCCAGCGTTTCTGAATGTCAGTGAACGTTATTTGAATATGAGTATTTCAGGAATAAATTCAGAGGTCTTTTTAAATTCTTATGTAAATGGGTGTGTAGATTCCAAGGGGGTTTCTTTTGGAAGGCAAATTAGATGATTAACCTGAGAAGCTTTATGATGATTCCATCATGTGCTTTCACTGAGGAAAAAAAGAGAGAAGGACAATCTTTCCTGTTTCATGCCATTTTAAGTATTCTTTTTCCAAGAGGGAGTTCAGTCATTCCTTTTTCTGTTGCTAACCTGAAGCAGAGTGGATATGAAACATGGATATGCAGATTTTGTGCTGGGATTTATAAACTGTAATAAGAAGCTTGCATGGGTGTTTTAAATCAACATAACCTTTGGATGTAAAGTCAGACTTTGCAGGTCTTTGGATTTATTGGTATTAGCAGCAGTCAGATTTGCACAGCTGAGTCTTGGCTGAGCTTAAAGGTCTCGGCAACAGGCGTGGGGCATGTCAGAGCAGAAAGTACTGGATGCCTGTAGGAATGGATGGTGGGTGAGAAGATGCAGTGACATGTCTCCAGGAGGCTGGAGACAGCTTTCTCCTTGCCATCACTCTGCAGAGGAGGCATTACTCCCAAACTGCCAGCTGCCATTTGCATCCTGGCCAGGATCTGGGAGAGCCTGGTGCTGACTCCAATCATGCATCATGTAGGACCCAGCTCCTGTCTGCTCAGGAGGAGGATATTGTCTTCTCCAAAGCTCTAAGCAGAATTGGCATCTTTAATGTAAAAATCATTAGGTGGGACCTAATTAATGTTCCTTATTACACATTAACATTTCCCAGAGTCAGGCTGCAGACATAATTTGCTTTCATTAGATATGTAGCTTTAAAAATTAGATTCATCCCAGTACCTACACTATTTATTGGCTTGTTTCCCTTTCCTTAGCTATCCATTATTATCTGAAGCCCTTTCCTGATCTGTCTGGTTAGATTAGGTGGAATTAAAGCAGACTCCAGCTTCCTGTTCCCCACTGCCCTCACTCTGTGGGAGCTCAGAGGATACACACAGTCTCCAACATAGACACACTTCTTGGCTTGCTTCTTCCACTCCTCTATCCACAGGGTTTCTGTAGATCCCTCAAAGCCTCCTAGGAGCCATACAGACCCCAACCCCCTGAGTTCAGTTTCCTTGCAGAAAGGTTTCATTCTCTGAGTCTCCTTTTTCAGCCTCCCAAAGATTTGTGGACCACAGGGTCAAGCCAAGCAGCTGTGCATCACCATGGAGCTGTATTGGGATGCTTGTGCAGCTCACCCTGTGGTGAGCCAGAGCCTTCATCCCTTGCTGTCAGGCCCATTCCTTACCTGGGGGCTGGGACAGGGGGTTCCTTACTCATCAGGACTGAGACAGGGAAGGTTCTTGTCCACGTGGGATTTGGCCATGGAGCTCCCATGGCTTCACTGAATGAGCTGGTGCATTCCCTGTTACCTCCCATGCTTGGCAGAGCAGTAATTAATGCTGGCCCTGAAAGAGTGATCTGCATCAGGTCTCCCTGGCAATGGGAGCCCTGGGGAGCCTGGAGCTGAAATTACAGCAGCGCTGAGCTGGCTCTGGGGAAATGAGGAGAGCAGAGAGGCCGGGGATGAGGCTGCAGTGATGTGCTGGGGAAGGGAAGAAGCAGCACCGACATGTCTGGCTGCCCCAGCAGTGCCCAGAGCTGCCCCAGCTCTCCCCATAACCATGGTTTGCACAATCCACCCTTGGGATGTGGAGTGATAAAGCAATTTCTTTTCCTTTTTTTTTTTTTTTTTTTTTTTTTTTCTATCCCATCAATATCTGTCTAGTGACAACTGAATATACAGGAATCCTCTTTTTTCGTGGTGTGTGTCCCTGCCAGGACTCATCATTTAAGAGTGGCTTCCTTCTGGATCCATCCAAGGTGGTCACCTGAGCAAACACTGTGCAAGCCTGTGCTGATATTTGCACTTTACTTTCAGCGTCTCCTCAGGCATTTTACAGTGATGTTTGGTCACAAAATGAAATGCAACTCACATTCTGCTTCTTTAATCAGAAAACCTAGGATTTCTTTTCCCTTGATCCCTTTCTATTATCTTTTTTTTTGTTTGCTTTTTTTCTCTTCTCTTTTTTCTCTCATTGATTATTCATTTGTTTCTCACTTCAACACAGAAGTTTGCAGCAAAATCTGGGCCACCCCAGGAGCGGGGCTGCCTGACCCAGTTGCAGCTCTTCCCCACTGGGGTGCAGGGCTCTGCTCCCCCTGCAACAGTGCAGGCAGCAGCAGGGGTCTGTCTCCACTCCCAGGGCCTGGCCCAGGCAACTCAGAGGATGTTGGGATGGATGGAGTCCATTTGACTGCAGGGCAGGTTGTGGTAGGATTGTTTATGGCAAGGGTTTTAAATAAACAGCCTGGGGAGAAAAGATGTTTAAGTGAGACCTAGAGAAGACATTAAGGGACATCATGAGTGAATTTGAAAGGAAATTTTTCTTACTCTTTTGAGTTTTTTTCCGAGTGTCTGGGTACCAAACCTGGTGTTAGAAGAGAAAATTTGTAGTGAGGAATCAAGTAATTATCCTTATCTGCTCTGTGCTGAATTCATCTTGTGACTGACAAAGCTCAGCCTTGGCTGAGATGGCTCTGAAGGTCCCTTACCTCCAGCAGTCCCTTACCTCACCACCACATTTCAGCCTGTGGTTCGAATAAGTACTGCAAATCTCCCTATTTTTACTTTTTGCTGTGACATTAATGGTCACTGCAAAGCCACAAGCACGACCTGGCAGTGTGAAACTCCTTTTCTTTATTCACCGAAAAGGAGCAGCCCCCACCAGCAGAACCAAACCTTATAAATATTCAAAATTCAGTTTGTAGGAATGTGAGACAAAGTCAGACAGATGAATTATTTAATGCTCTTAAAGAATGCAGCTTTTAGTTTTTCCTTGCACTGGCCTACTTTATTCTATTAGTAAATCGATCTCCAGTAAATTAATTTCCCTCCCTTTCTTGCAGCAAGCAGTGGGCATGGGTGGAAGCCTCCTTCCTTGAGCAGATGCCAGGACACCTCTGTAGCTGTGGACTGAGGCGCTGAGTGTTAGAGGAGAGTTGAGCTCCTGTCATTCATTTCCTGCCCTTTGATTTGCATTAGAACACCCAGCACTCAGGAGAAGCACAGAGCATTGATGGGGACAGGCTGTGAGTGACAGGCTGGTGTGGCACTGCTGAGGCTGCTTTTGGGAGGCTGCCCGTGGATGTAGATGTCAATGAGACCTGGATGCACGCTGGGTTTTGAGAATTTCCCCTATTTTGTGGCAAATAAGAGACTGAGAGCGCTGATATCAAAGTTGGGTCTTCTCCAGCTCACGGCAGGATGAGGCTCCTTTTGTCCCTGCAGGGCTGTGACAGAGGCCAACTCAGGTCCCTCCCCAGTGGCAAGGGTGTCTCTGGCTTCGAGGTACCAACAACTCCAAGATCACATTCCCTAGGACTGGATCAAGCCCTTACTGTGTCATGTGACTGGCCACAGAAAAGCAGAGTAACAACTACCAACCTCCCACTGATGCTACAACAAACCCCAAAAGTCACCAGCTTTTCCAGGCAATGAGGAGTTAATGAGGAGTACCTGCCTAAGGAAGGAACATTAAATCCACCCAAAAATGTCCTACCCTGACAAGAAATGTAGTCCCACTCCTGTGTGAGCTTTCGTGGATGTAGAGCATCAGTGGAGTTCTTTATGGGTTCGTGCTCAGCCTGTGCTCCTGCTTCTCAGCCCGTCTGCTCCCTCTTATCCCAGTTAGAAATGTTCCTGTTCATTTGGATGCTTATTGAAAGCGTGTTGCAGAAAGACCTGACAGTTCCTTAGAGAAATAATGTCAGAGGTGATCAGAGCTGCCAGCTGGGAGGGGAATCGGATTGGCACTGACCAAACTGGGAGCAGTCCAGTGGGTCTATGCACACATAACCCTTTCAATTAGTAAAACTGGCCACTTTACTCCCCCTTTTTACATGGTGTGGTAGCAGCAGTGCAGTAAATACTCATAGAGAAATAAGTCCAAAATTGCTCTCTGGACTACTTTGATGAGTATGAAAAAATCCTGCCCTGAAGACTGACCTTCTTTCTCTCTCCCCTTTTTATTTTATTTTTTGTTTTAATATTTGTGTTATGTAGTTTTCTACTAGTTTTCTCCTGCCTGGTGCTGTCTGTCTTTTCGACCATTGATGAGTACCAGAACAGCTCAGAAGGGGCCCTTTACATCCTGGTAAGTGGGGGCCAACAGTGAGGTATTAACATAAAGGCAAAACCACACAAAAACCTGAGATTGGGGGTGTTAGAGGCAAGGATTTAAACTGTCACTTGTGAGAGGGGGACCAGTACAACCTATGGGTAAGAAATTTGAAAAGGAGAAATCTGTATCAGGAATAAACTAAAAATATTTTGAAGGATCCTTTAAAACCTTTCTTCCTAGACTTTTTCTCTTTCTTTTCTTTTTCTTTCCTGAATTTGTCTTCAATTTCAAAACACAGTAGCAAGACTGATCCCAACTGAAAGCTCCCAATATTTAAAGCTGCAGACGCTCTGCGTCGGGAGCAGCTGGCAGAGCTGCCTCCTCTCCCACACTGTCACATCCCTGCAACTATCTGATCCACCATGAAGCTGCAGAGTTTTGTTCCTGAAATAGCCCGGCATCCCTCACACTGACAGTGTGGCTTCTGCCACCAAGAGCCAGCAGAGATCCTGCCACCACGGCAGTGGTGCAGGGCTGCCAGATTCACACATCTTTCCTTTTGTCTGTCTTCCTCTTCCCCAGTCCCTGCCCTACATCAAAATCAAAAGGTGCTGCAGACTAATTATGGGCTCATCAGGTTTGACACATGAGAAAGCTGAGAAAAGTGCTGCTAGTAAAGAACTCAGAGGGAAGGGAGCGTGCACGGGATGTTCAGATGGTGATGGAAAGAGCTCGCGTGGCATTAAGGGATGGAGAATCTACACCCCCCTGCACCAGATAGCCCAGCACGCTCAGGCAACCAGGCCACTTTTCTAGGGAAAAAGCTGAAATCCCCTTTGAAGAGTCCTAGGATGATTCCCGACCAGTGATTCCCATTTCTGCTCTTCCCTGAGCTGCTCAGCATTAACCGAGTCGAGTGCTGGAGACTAATGGCAGGGAGACAGGGAGGTGCTTGCCAGTCCTCTGATGGGGGACACACACAATAGGGACAGTGTAAAACTCTAGTTCATGGCTACAACATGCAGTACCTCTCCCCACCCCGGGTGGGGTGAGGGAAGACACAAAAGCAGAGATCTGATGATCCTTCAAGCCTGGGCTCTCTGAACGGTGCAGACAGCTTGGTGATGTGTTGTCCGAGGTCTATTTTCCTGAGGTCACGCGTTTGTCCCTGATTCTGGAGCAGGCTCTCCACCATCCTTCTTTCCCGACTAACAGTGTTGTCTCCCTCACAGGAAATCGTCACCATTGTGGTGTTTGGGGTGGAATACTTTGTGAGGATCTGGGCGGCCGGCTGCTGCTGCCGATACCGGGGCTGGAGGGGAAGGTTAAAATTTGCTCGCAAGCCTTTCTGCGTCATCGGTAAGACCTCCTTCCCTGCATGAGATTCCCCAAACCACGATGGCCACTGCAAGCAGTTGCTTGCACAGGGCTCTGGTGTCTCGCGTGCATTTTGGGGGTTGATCTTCAGCTGCTTCGTGGTCAGGAAAAAGCACAAAGGCAGAAGTCCTAATCCACGGACGTGTTTTTTGTTATTCATCACGGCACGTTCCCTGTTTTCTGCCAACCTGGGAGCCATCCCAATGCCCTGTGTACCTCAGGCATCGCTGACAGCTGCACAGAAAGGGGGTTTAGCCAGGAGAAGCTGAGCATAGGAACTGGGATCTTGCAATCCTGTGTCCAACCTCCGCACCGAATCGTTCACGAGTCACTGAAGCTCGGTGTGTCGCTTTGCCTTCCCTGGTGCTGATGAGCTGCCTCACAAGGGAGTTATGAGACTTAATTAATTCTTGTTTGTAAAGTACTCGGTGAGCCTCCTGTGAGAGGGGCCATCTGGGCACAGCAGTGATTTTTTTCTGGGATAAGAAATGGGCAGAGAGGCCATGCCCTTCGCTATGGAAGCTGCCTTCAACTGTCCAGGAGCTGGCAATGGTCATATGCAGGATTTGAGCTTATTCCACAGAAAAAGACTGCTATAAAATTTGCATAGAAAATTAGGGAAGAGGGAGGTTTACTGAATCTTCGTGTATATAGAGAGAAAGGCTTTTTTTCTTGGCCTATTTCTTGGTCTTTGTCTGTGAGCACCTTAGGACTGCTATGGAGGACCTGGAGATTTTCATTCCCAATTTAGATGGTGTAATTCCCAGCTTTGTGTAACAGGCAGCTATGGCTGATAAAAAAAAAAGGCCAAGCATTTTGCAAGGATTTAACCCAGTTTAGCAGTGTTAACACTGAATCATATAAAAATTCAGACTTTGCAGTATTTGACACATTTTTTATGGATGACGAGCGTGGAGAAGGAAACCAGGATATTCCACAAGGTGTGTAGTAGCTCCTTTCATCCAATTTAAGATTAATGCTATGTCCTTCCAGCACAGAATACAAGTGACCAGGAGATCATTCTCATGCACAGCCTTCTGCTGCCCGAGGCAGTGGGAATTCCATCCCCTTTGGTAGTGGTCCAGCAGCACTCCTTCAGCTTTCCCTGCCCTCTGTTCCTGCAGACATCATGGTGCTGATCGCATCCATCGCCGTGCTGGCAGCGGGGTCCCAAGGGAATGTCTTTGCCACCTCAGCACTCAGGAGTTTGAGGTTCCTGCAGATCCTGCGCATGATCCGCATGGACCGGCGGGGCGGCACCTGGAAGCTCCTGGGCTCTGTGGTCTACGCACACAGCAAGGTGAGCAGGTCCCAAGCAGGGACGTCGAGTTGCTCTTGGTGTTCCCTCCCCCACAGAGGCACTGCTTTGGTTCAGTTCTCCTTCCCAAAGCTCTCCCAGGCCTGAGGAGATCGGAAAGACACCGTAGGTAACTCGGGATGGGATGCAGAGTCAGGGACAAGGTCTGATGGAACGCTTCGACCAGTCAAGGAGAGAAGGGAGAGAGAGGTTCCAGTCACAGAACTGATCCCTGGTATAAGGTGATCGGTTTGGGAAGAGTTTGTTGATAATTTTTTGTTTACTGCTTCTGAATTTATGAATTTAACATTTCTCCTGTTTCCTGCACTTTTTTCCCCCTGAAAAGCTTAGTCACCTTAGCCAGAACTATCACAGGGAATTTGTGAGTCCCTCTTGTCCACCCTTGCATTAACCTAATCCAAAAATAATCACTTCTGGGAATTCTGAATTAAAAATTCTCTGCAATTGGGGTATATTGCATCCAGACCCCAACTTTGCAGCTCCTCCTCTGTAAGTAGAAGCCCCAAGGATTTGAGGATTCCTATTTCAGTTCTAACTATGTGAATTGGGGAAATGCTAGTTTTTTAAGTCTCAGGTCCATATCTTGCAATAATGGAGCTATTAAATGCCCTTCTCCATTTGCTGTATGTGTTTAGATGTTGGGGTCTTCAGGACAGGGATTGCCCCATGTGCTTGGCAGAGCCACCACCTCATGGTCCCATCTCAAAAAAGTGTCATTACTGGCCTCTAACCAAAGCCCTCAAACCTAAATAAATGCAGGGAAAGTTCAGATCCAGCCGCAATCAAGTAACTCAACGTTCAGAGATGCGCACCAGGATTGCAATTATTCTCTTCTTTCCTTTAATGATCTCGCAGGAGCTGATTACTGCGTGGTATATTGGCTTCCTGTGCCTCATTCTGGCCTCTTTCCTGGTATACTTGGCCGAGAAAGGAGAAAATGAGCACTTTGATACATACGCAGATGCACTTTGGTGGGGTCTGGTAAGTAATTTTCATAGAACAGCTGCTGGTTATTAAAATAAAACGTCCATTAACCCTCCATCTTCTATCACTTACGTGAGGTATCGACTCATAGAGTGCTTAGTTAACATTTTTATTAAATGGTTTTGGGCTGCTCCATTTAGCTCTTTTTCTTATACAAACCTCATAGAAAACGTTAAAGGATCACATTTCTGCATTAGCTGGAGCTGCAGGGGAACGGGGCACTCATGTGCTCCCAGCTGTGGGATTTAGCTCTGTCATGACAGCAGAGGCAGGTCAGACAGAGACCCCACACCGCTTTGATCATTGTTTTGACAAGTATTGCTGCCCTTTAATTATTTAAATTGCACTTGGGCAAGGCGCTGTTAAACACACAGGAATAAAGTTTATAAAATTAATAGGGTCTAAGTACCAGAAAGACTCCATCGGGGCGAGCACTCCCCTTCACATCTCTGCTGACAGAGGAGGAAAGGGCAATACTTTTGGTTTGCTCTGTGTGTGCGTGTGCATGTGAATTATTGGATTACTCGATTAACAAAGAGAGAATTAATGACGTTCTAATCTTCTTGCGTTATTGTTCTTCTGCTCCATCACTAGTTTGGCCTTGATTACAAAGCATGTAATGAAAATCCCCGATCTGATCAAATCCCAATAACAGGCTTGGGGAGGAATCGGCTGATCAAGCAGCTCCTCTGTTCCAACAAAGGGGAAAAAAGCAGTAAATTGCTTTTAAAGTCCCTTAGTTATGACAAAAAAATAAAAACAAAGCCCAATTTGACATAACCAGAAATTAAACAATGGGGGGAAAGTGACAGCCCAGATTAGAGCTTAGTCTGGGGAGAACCATCGGCAGATTTATCCCTCCTGCTTCCCAGGCTCTGCAGGCCTTCAACAGAGGATCACTGCTCTGCCTTTTGGGATGCAGAGACGCACCAGACTCTTTTGCCACTGAGAAACACAGAAAAAAACCTGAGCCTCATTAAAATAAGTAGTTTCTGTCATTGTCCAGCTCATGGTTCCAGTACAGGCAGATGTTAAGAGATGGGATAAATCAAATTTCAGGTTCATAAACTCATCCCTTTGTTGATCTTGCTGCATCCAATCCTTGTAGTTGTCTATAAAAATTATAAAAAAATTGTAAACCAATTTTGCAGTGTTTATGGAGAGAGCATTGCTCCGACTTTGTTTCAGTAAGAATGAGGCATGTAGATGCATTTTTTAACCACTTTGTCAAAATAGCATCTAATTGATAAGGCTTTTAGTGGGTCTAATTAAAGGGTGCTTTGGGATCATACTTCCATTTGTGTAAAAGTGATTTTATTCTGAATGAAATGCATATTTCCAATGCCACATCAGCATGCTGTCAGCTGCCATCCCTGGGGCCAGCTCTGTCCATGGAGGCTGTGGGACAGAGACACTTCCATGTGCCACAGGGACCTTTGGGATCAGAAGTCTCGAAGATGTTTCTAATCAGACCACTCCTCTCTGCCTTGCCCTGCCAGACCCAGGCTCTCCAAATCCTCTTGGAAGCCCTGGGGGAATACCCAGCATTTCCCACTGCTGATGTCTGTGGACTGAAGTGGGTAAAGGTGTCTTCTCCTGCAGTTTGACATTCAGGGGATTCTGTCTCCAACAAATCCCTCAGATCTTTCCCCAAAATACAGACAGCAACTTGCCAGCTCTCTGTTGCCGCATTGCAAAAATGCTGAGGAGGGGAAAAAACATTCCTAAATGAGGTGGTATGAAGGAGCTATAATTCATCCTCTTGGTCTAATAGGCTGTTCTTAAATAGGAAGGGAGACCAGCTAATAGGCACTGCTGGGAGCATTGGGAACAGGCAGAATCAGGTCTTTATGCATGCAAATAGCCCTGCCTGTTTTCCTGAGATGCCGAAAGGGAGTTTGGGGGAACGGTGCGGGTTCGCTTCCCCTGCCGGAGGCACAACCCCGTCTCCCGGGGGAGGTTCCGAGCTGCCGCCAGCCTCTGCACCAGATGGCAGCTCTCTCCGTGACAGCAAAAGGCACAGAAAATGCTCCCAACTGGTGGGAAAACCCAGCACGTGAGCAGGGCGGGTGTCGGGGCATCTGCATCCTGCAGGGTTGCCCATCCCTGCTCGGTCCTCCGGGTCCCCGAGCTGCGCCTTCCCTTGGTCAGCTCAGGGCAGGCAGCGATCCCGGCTCCTCCATGTCCCTCCCGCTCGGGTGTTGGGGGAGCTTTGGCCGTGTCGTTTCAGTTTTAAGGCTGTCTGACCAAGGGCTGGGCACTGATCTCCTCCCTGCAGATCACTCTCACCACCATCGGCTACGGGGACAAGTACCCGCAGACCTGGAACGGGCGGCTGCTGGCGGCGACCTTCACACTCATCGGCGTCTCCTTCTTCGCCCTTCCTGCCGTAAGTGGGACGGTGCTGGGAGTGAGGTCTCACTGGGAGGGGGTCTGACCTCACCCGTCCCTTATCCCCAGCCCCTGGAGCTGGTGCCGCTGCAACAGCTGCATCCAGCAACGCGATGCACCCTCCTGGCTGCAACGGTCTGTGGCTTTTGAATCAAAAAATTAGGGAGAAAAGGGCAAACCCTGTCTGAATATCCACAGCTGGGGCACTTTGAGCAAACGGGGTGGAAATTCTAGATTTGGCTCTGCACAAATATTTATTGGAGCAATATAAAGGATTTTTTCCCTCAGAGGGCTGTTCTTGGGGGTAATTAATAGCTTTAAACTGAAAGAAGGTAAATTTAGATTGGCTATTAGGCAGCAATTCTTCCCTGTGAGGGTGGCGAGGCACTGGCACAGGTTGCCCAGAGAAGCTGTGGCTGCCCCATCAAGGCCAGGCTGGACAGGGCTCTGAGAAACCTGGTCTAGTGGAAGGTGCCCCTTTCCATGGCAGGGGGGTGAATGAGATGAGCTTTAAGGTTCCTTCCAACCCAAAGCAGTCTGTGATTCTATGATTACACCGTTTCAGCAAATCACTCACAGATGCATTTCAGAGTGTTGCACTGATCTGGATCCCCGTGGGGATAATTTGATGAATGCCAACATTCTGGGGTTATTTTGTGTTCTATCAGCTGGCTGGAGGTGGTTTGGGAAAAGCTGCAATTCCAGTGGGTGCCAGCAAAGTCTGCTGCCCCTTGGAGAATGTCTGCCAAGGCTGCTGGGGTGGAGGCTCCTTCCTTCCTCTGTGTTTGAAACAAAAACTGAGCCAGAAAAAAAACTTTGGAGGGAAAGCTGGCCACAACTTTCAAGTGAAAGCTGAGCTAAACCCCTGCTAACTGCAAATTGTTCTCTTCCAGGGCATCTTGGGTTCGGGGTTTGCTCTGAAGGTTCAAGAGCAGCATCGACAAAAACACTTTGAGAAGAGGCGAAACCCAGCAGCGGGCCTGATCCAGGTGAGGATCACATCCAAGGAGCCTTGGGGTTACATTGTCCTGGTTTTGGAGGGCTTAACAGACTTTTAGAAGTTGGGGAAGAAATGGGCTGGTGAAAAGTGGGGCCATGTGTTTAAGGTGTGAGACAGCAGCTGGTGACTGGTTTTGTCTGGGAATAAATGCCAGGAAATCAACCATGGGAAAATAGCATATGTGGCAGGGAATCTAGGGGAGAAAAGGAATGAAATTCAGCCCAGCACAGCAAGACAAATGCATTAGGACAGTCTGTTTTCACTCATTCTTCTTCCCCAAAGAGAATATTTATACTGATATAAAATTACAATTGGGAGCATTTTCTTCATGATAACAGATGTCCGTGCAGAAGGTTGGCCTTGGTGTACATCTTGGAGATTTGAAAGTAGTCATTTTACATTCCCCTGCTCCTTTCTTTCCAAATTTTAACTCCTTAATAAGCAACAACACCCACTTCATCCTTGCCCTCAGCCTGCCGGTGTGTGTGGCCGAGACCCACAAAACTTTTAACCAGGCTCACATGGTGAGGAGCATCATGGTACCACCCCAAATTTGTCATGTATCAAATCAAGGAAGAGGCAAAAATGCTGGATCCATCCCATAGAAAACAGAGGGAGGAGTCAGAGTTGGCTGAGGTTTATAAACCTGAGGGTGGTGCTGGCCATGCCTGGGTCCACAACTCCACTGTGTCTTGTCCCCCACAGGCGGCTTGGAGATTTTATGCCACCAACCTGTCCCGGACAGACCTGCACTCCACCTGGCAGTACTACGAGCGCACCGTCACCGTCCCCATGTACAGGTACCTCCTCCTCCAGCTTCCTCTTCCACTGCCTTCCTCGTGATGCCACTGCCTCCATAGTTATTTCCGTTATCTGGATATATAGTTTCATTTATTTGTTTCTGTTTTTTTTTCATGGAAAAAGTTGATTTCAAGAGGCTCTTAAGGGCCGGTGTATGCTTTGTCTTTTGGAGTTTTTTTGCTTTGTATTTTTTGTTGTATTTCTTTTTGACTTGATTTTAATTTTCATGTTGCCTTTTTTTTTTTTTTTTCCATGTCTCTGTGTGTTGTACATGCTCTTCTTTTCCCCTTTATTTCTCCATGTCTGCTGGTAGTTGCATTGTGTTGTGACAGTTGCCGTGCCCAGGTGTGAAGACCTCCCTCCAAGCTGCTCTGGATCATAGGTAAAAGCTGCCCTCACCCTACTTGCAGCTCCTCGTGCCCTTCCAGGCTCTCCTTGCTGATCCAACTGGTCTCTAATGGTCCTTCTGCCTCTCAGCAAACTTTTCTCCCTCCTTTGACCAGCCTGGTACTCTCCTGGGTGCATTTGCCCTGTGTCCTCCTTTCCTTTCCTTTTTTTTCTCTGAGATGAGGAAAACCAACTCAGGATTCAGTGAGCGTTTTCCCATTTCTTATATTTCATTTATCCATCCCAGTCTGTTGACAGGAGTAGGGAAGGATGGTGGAGCCTTGATGGATGAGGCAGATAAACATCACTGAGTTTTGGCAGCATCCATCTGCCTTGCTTTACCTGCTCTACTTATTGTACCCAGGCATTTTGTTAAGGTTAGAGCAGTGCTGTGGGAATTCACAGCCTCTTGGGATTTGGAGTTTCATGGAAGTGGGGACAGAGTTCCCTGCCATACCTCAGTGCCCTCTGGGACATGGGGAAGTACTGCATCCTTTATGTCCCTCTTGGGCTTGGTGGTATCTAAGGAGGAGGCTTCCTCAGAAGCTAAAATGCACAGTGTTGCTATTCATTTTCACCCCACACTGCCCTGCGTCCTGCATCCCTTTCTGGTGTGTTTTTGGGGGCTACCCAGGTCCCTCTGGGTTTGTAGCGGGGTTGAACATGTTGGTTAGATGTTCCTGTGGGGTTTTGTTGGGCATGGTGGGGCTCCCTGTGCCCCATCTCCCTGCTCCCACACAGGGCTGTGGTCCAGCACTGGGTTGTGCCAGTGCAGGTATCATCCCTTCCTGTTTTTTTCCTCTGTTACTGGTGTCTTTTAGCTTTTGAGCAGTCTGGATGTATTTCCTGGGGTAAGCATTAGTATATATTTAAAACACAGCAGCCAGCCTCTTAATCCAGCATAAAAACCTGTTGGAAGTCACATTATTGTGGTCAGTAAGGTTTTATTGGATTCATTCCCAGTGTGTGTCCGATTGGTTGCTTTTTCCCTGGAAATTGATGAGCCAACTTCAAGATTTTCTCTAAAAAACCCAAAACAACAACAACCCAACAAACCAGAACAAAGCTGTTTTCCAGTAACGTTAAACCCACCCATTGAAGCTCTCCCTCCCAGTATCTGACCTTCTGGCTGGGATCAGCTACTGGAAAGGGTGAGGATGGAGCCTGGCCCAAAGTCCACTGCAAACTGCAGACACCCAGGGCTTTTTTTCAGTGGATTTTGCCAGGTTTTAATTCTCTTTGAACTACTGAATTTACCACGCAGCCAGACATGCAGTGACACCCTTTTGATTGCAGAGTACTGGGGTTACTTAATTACCTGTTACTTAATCCACTCGTTAAAACCTGTATTTCCACGGAGCTGGTCTGCAGGAGGAGAACTAAGCTAAAGAGCTCCAGGAGGGGCTAAATAAAAACTTTAGGGAGGAGAAAGGGAAAAAAATGTAGTTAAAAGAGCCTACTTATCTTGAGTAAGAAGCCAGGACAGATGAGTAGCAGGGTTGTAGCAGTTTTGCTGGCTGATGCTGTGGGTGCTGCTCAGCCCCACTCTGCAGTGTCACCCTGGGCTTCCCTAGGCATGGGTTTCACTGCAGTCCCAGCTTCTCCCTTAAATCCCAGCTCCTGAGCAAGTGAGCTGTGGGTGCACTGATGGTTTCAGGCATTAGTCAAACAGCATTTTTTACCAGGAAAGCAGTGAACACCTTCTAAATATATTTTGGGTGCACTCAGATAAATTAATTGGAATTTATTTTTTTTTTTGAAAAGGGAATAACTGTATGTTCTGGCTGCAGCTTCTGTCACTCACACTGACCATCTCTCCTTGCCCACCCAGTTCCCTGAGCTGGCTGGCAGGGGCTGGCAGCCCTGTGCTGGTGCTGGTGCAGCCGTGGCAGCACGTCAAGCCCAGCACCACATTAAAGTGATGGCTGCTGACACGTGTCTGCAACCCATGGTGTGGTTTGGAAGTGGGTTGGAGGAACACAACATCCCCCTCCCTGGTGCCCCGGGGGTGATCTGCAGTCACCAGTACCTTGGCACCCTCTCTGCTCAACATCAGGCTGCTTATTCCTCATAGCAGGAGCCCTGTGCCTTCAGCTCATCCGTCTTCCCAAGGCATCTCTGAAAAGGCGTGGCTGCTTGATATGAGCAAATTGTTACACATGCCTTGGAGGAGCTCACGTGGCTCCAGAACATCACTCAAATCACTGCAGTAGAGCTGCTCTAACTTGTTTGGGGAAAATATGGTGGCTTCTTAGAGAATCTCAAATTTAACCTTTAAATACAAAATGTGGTAGAACCAAATCTGAAATATGCACAAGGCTTCATTGTGAGCAGGTGTGGCTTGGGTTGTGATGCATGGGTAGCTTGGTGCACTCAGACATCCTAACCCGTTCTGCATCAGCCACTGAATTTACTGGGAAAAAAAGTTTGCTCTCGTTGTCATTCATGAGAGCAGAGCCTTGATCTCAAGTACATTCACATATTGGTCTTCACTAAAAAAAACCACAAACCCATGGGGCACATCCTGCCCAAGTCAGCAGCCCAGCCCGAGGAGCTCCTGGCTGGTGGGACCGAGGGCTGTGGATGTCCCATGGAAGGTCTCTGGGAGGCCCCCACACTTTCCCTGCTCTGTGGTGCCAATTTGCTCTTGGAGCAAGGTGCCAGCTGCCTGTCCCCGAGGGTGACACGGGTGTGTGGTGGTTTCTGAGCCAACCACAGCGGGAGCAAGCTCAGCCCACGCTCCCGTGCTCACCTGTGAGCCTGGCCACAGCATCTGCTCCCGGGGAGACACTTTGTTCATATGCTAATTTTCTTTATTCTGTTTCTTTTTCCCCTTTCCTCCACCCCACCTCTTCCCCCCCTGTTTTTCTTTCTCTTATCCCTTTGGTTTTCTTTGGTGAAAACTCTTGAAAAGCACGCAAACGCAAACGTATGGTGCCTCCAGGTATGAAGTGCATGTGACTCTGAAAGTGTGTGTCATGTCACTCCTTGTTCTTCATTTGGGACTGTAATATGCAAAGCCTTGAATTAAAAAAAAAAAAAAAAAAAGAAAGAAAAAGAAACCTCTGAAGATGAGTTTTTTCAAAGGAATGAGTGAAAACCCAAAGCAGACGCCCCCTCCTGCTGCTGATAGACTAACCCCGTGCACCTCCATGGCCATTTTAGCTATTGGTACACTCAAGTGTTGGGAAACTCTGCCAAAATGGTGATGTAAGGAAGGAGAATGGTAGAGTGCTTGATAAGCTTGCTTTTTTAAGGATGATTTCTTAATGGTCTTACCCCCCTCCTCCAATCCATGCAACGCTTAACAGGGAGACATCCCCGTTCATACTTCCATTTCCCTCTGCCATCACTCCTGCGTGTTCCCTTTCTCCAGCCCTCTTTTCCCACCCTTCATTGTGTCATTTTTCTGGCTCGATGCTGCAGGAGCTGTGCCCACCCAGTAATGCTGGCTTTGCTGAGTTTGCTGGTGTGGTGGCACCATGGGACCCATCAGTGGGAGCACAGAATAAAATCTCCACAGCAGCTGTACCTGCTTTTGAGGACAGCATGTGGAGGGGAGAAAGATCTGGGATGCTAAACTGAAATAATCATTCATTTCTTTGAGTAATCCGGTCTGATTTTTGGGAAAAAGATGTTTCATCTCAGCAGGACTTTTCCATTTCAGCTTTTCCTTCCAAGACCGACCTAGAGCCAAGCAGTTATTAGCCACAATTATTCAATCTGGGACTTAACCTTTTGGGACCAATCCAAATGCAAAGACCTGGATGTGACTGTGTAAGATTTATGATAAATAATGTTATCTCAGGTTCTGCAGAAAGGAGTAGATTTGCAAATCACAGGCATATTTTAAATGAGATGGGTATCTGAAGGTGTAGTCAAGTTAATATTTTAAGATGGGGAATAAATGACTTGCATTTCAAGACTGCAGGCCAAGCTCTCTTTTTAGAGCAGTTTAAATCCTCACTAGAGGCAGTAATGCCATTAGAGCTGATGTGATTTAGTGTCTGATTTCCAAACCCAGCTCCAGTTTTCACAGATGTAAGTTTTATAGCCTTAGTAAATCACACTTACAGCTTTGTGTGCTTAATTTACACCAAATTGCATCAATGAACTGCAAGTATAATGTTAAAAATATATTTTCCTGTTCTGCTGAACAACAGTCTGTTTTGAGAGTCAGACATTTTTCTACTGCTGGGAGTGAAATAAGAATGTGCCACTTCCATCCCATTTGTTGTAATAAAGTATTTTATGAGTTTCATAAATGTTCTCAGTTGTGAAAAATAGCTTTAGCCGGAGACATAAAGTCATGGTTAAGGTAAAAATTGGCTGCTCATAGGAACTCTAGCATAGCATGGAGACTCATTTAGGCCCCCATCCCATTCCAGCATCCATCTCCTTGCCACCCTCTCCTTAACTGTTCCTACTGGGACTGTTCAAAAAAATCATCGTTGTCTCTGTGTGCGTGTCGTGGTGTGTGTGTGTCTGTGTACGCTCCCCCCTGTGTTGTGTCCTGCTGCCCTCCTCGTGTTGTGGGGTTCTGGTGGTGTCCTGGCCCGAGGCATGATATCCCCACTGTCCCCTAATGCTTGACAGTTATCTGTGCTGCCAGGAATAGCGGGTCTGCCTTCCCTCTGGATGTGGTAGCTGGCACTGGAGTTAGTGTGACGTTTCTCTGTGCTCCTCTGGGCGGGGTGATGGGAGCAGCTGTGGGTTCCCCTGGGTCCCCTGCAGCAGTGTTTTTGTGGTGGGTGGCATGAGCTGTGTGTGTTCCCTGGTGTGCAGAGCTCCTCACCCAGCTCCCCCTTAACCAAAACGTGCTTCCCTTGCTAACAAGTGACACACGGACCAGGAGGAGAGAGAGAAAACAAGAGGCGCCCCAGCCAGGGGTGCTTTCTGCGCGTCTCTGGAGGACACGGTGGCACCTGCATCACCTGCCCCCTGGGCACACACACCAGGGCAGGGGGCCATGCATCCAGCATTTCATAGCAAAGCTCAGTTAAAGAGCTATGCAGAGTTCTGCCTTTTTTTTTGTTTGTTTGCTTTTGAGGATCTGGAGAAATGGTGCGATGCAGCAGCTGTTCCCCAGGCTGCTCTTGCAGTGACAGGTTAGGCTGAGCATTTAATTGAGATTAAATTTCAGGTCAAGTACATGGATGAGTTTGCACCCATTTTTAATTATTATTATTATTATTATTTCAGTAAAATATTGCTTATTTCCATCTCATGTTTACCAGGCCCATCAACCAACCACAGAAATGGTGGATTTCTGTGTTTGCTGTGTCTCTGTACCTTTGCATGGAAACATGACCACCAAGAGGTGGCCACTTTCAGCACAGTGCAGACCATGGGCTAATGCAAAAGAAGTAGCTCCTTTTGGAATCCTGAATCCTTCAATTTAGTGAGCTGATGAGCTCTTCAGCTGAGACTTGCATGAGTGAGAGCCCTGGATTTGTGATCCCAGCTGGAGAAAGTAGGGCTGTGTTCTGCTGGGTATGGACCTCCCTGAGAAGCTAACTCACCAAAGAACAGTTGTGCACCCTTCATTAGCTGCTGAGTACACTTTGTGCTTGATTTTATGCACCACCTCTCCCATCTTGGAATGAATCTCCAACCCCTACGGTGGTTTTGAAGGGAGGTAACAGCCCAGCACTCATGCACTGCTCCGCTGAACCAAGGTCGGCTTCATCCTGATGAATGGAGTGAAGAGGATCATTAATTCAGCAGATCAGGATGTGCTTTTCTCTGGATGGAAGCGAACAGAGCTGGACTGGGGAGCTGAGCCAAAATGTTCAGGCCTATTTTTATTCTTTTCTCCATACTTAGAATTGGAAAATTTTCTGATTGCCTCAATCTTGTGAACACCAAATCTCTGCTGAGCAACTGTGGTTTTGAGGATAAGTTTCCTGCATGCAGAGGAGAAGAGGCTTTTCCAGTTGGTTGTGGTTTTTTTTTTTTTTTTCTGAAGTGTAAAACTACTGGTCTCATAATGGCTGAAAAAATGTGGGCATGAATATCTCTGCCTTTATTTTACAGTAAGCAGGAGCCCCATTTCTTCCAGCACCTCAGCTGAGACCAGCCTGTTAGTCTGCAAGCCCCTGCACTCCTTTCCTTCCCATCCTGAGTTGCAGTTTTGGGACAGTTTGAGCAGATCCTTCTTGCTTCCATTAAAACCTACATGGCTCATTTTCCAGCAAAGTCATAAGTACAGGCTGCCTTGGGGCTGTGGCACTTTGGGTTGTCGTGGATGTGGGCAGGCACAGGCAGCCTGTTCCCAGGTCCTTCCCTTCATCCCTGAGACACTTGTCACCAGCATGACCCGAGGCAGCTGCTCTGCTGACCCTGCACCCCCTGGGCACAGCGCTGCCATGTGGCACTTCCACAGTTTGACAAGGGCACGCTGGTGGCCCCGGGAGGATTTTGCAGCCAGTCATGAGATGAGCCCCATTGGCCTTGACCCTGAATGCAGAGCCCCCAAGTGAGCTCTTAAGCAGATGCTGCTCTTCCCAGCCGTGTGCAGCATTCTCTGTCCTCCCCCCCCCCCGATGCCTCCAGCTTATGTTTCTCTTGGTTGAAAACCTGGCTGTGAATGTCAGCATTAAATATTTATGGAGCAAGCCTCAGCCTCTCAGGGTCTGAGGGAAGAAACCAGAAGTGGATGTAGGAGCTAATTCAATGGCTTTTAGCACAAAAGCAGGACAGGCCACAGGGTATTTGTTCTTTGTTTTTTTTTTTCAGTTATTAACCAGGATTCCCACCATCAGGTTCTTTTTTTGTAACTGAGAAAGGAAGGAAGCCCATGGTTCCTAGAAGGCAACGATACAGGATTTTGCCTAATTCTAAGGCAAAACCTGACATGGACAGTAAAGAATTGGTTAAACTTGACCCTGGAGCACACTACTGTTTCTCCTGGGATGGCCACAACCTGAAGTCCCTGTTTTCTCTGCCCCATAAGCTGCTCCTTCCCCTGCCTCCCCACATTCCCAAGAGCAGCAGGGTTGATTTTTCCCGTTTTGCCCCAAAACTGGAGTTTCTCTCCACTTAGCACACATCCAAAGTGCTGACCTCCAGCGACAGCAATGCCAACCTGCCAGACTACAGGTGGTGAAACAGCTCTGCCGAAACACCACTGGGCTGCCCAGGAACCCTGGCAGCCACTTGGTTTTTGGGAGGTTCAAAATCCAATGGTGCAGACAAGTTTCTCTCTCTCTCTCACTGTCTCTTTCTCTCTCTTACCCCACTGCTCTGCCTTAGGACACTGCTGGGAGCAGCAGCCAAATCCCTCTCCATCCTTCCCGAGCTGTTCCCCAGTTGCAGTTGATGGCACAAAGCTGGTTCTGGTTGAAAGGATGGGGCAGCGGGGGAAGTTGCCAAGGCAGGAGGCTCTGGAATCAGCTCTGTCTGTATATTAATGGCCTTTGTTTTCTCCCTCTAGACTAATCCCTCCTCTGAACCAGCTGGAGCTCCTGAGGAACCTGAAGAGCAAGTCGGGACTGACATTCAGGTTAGCAAGAGTTAAGAGAGTTTGGAAAGCACACACTTTGCAACCTTTTTTTTTTTCTTTTCTTTTTTACCTTCCTGGCTTTGGCATACAGACAGCCTTGAAGATGTGAGAGGTTTGACAGCTGGTCCCCCATGGGTCCTTCAGTGACCTCCTCCCTGTCCCTCTCCCATGCTCTACATGAATTCCTTCAGCCTCACTTGGCTCTGGAGCAATGTCACAGTGCTTGACTGACAAGAAAAAGTTGTATTCTCAAAGAGGGTGATTGAGGTAGTTTTCCCAGCTTTCCTCTGACCTTTTTGCTCTTCAACACCCTCAGAGGAGATTCAGGCCCACAATGTGTTAATTCGTTCTCTGTTCCCTCCAGTGAGTGCAGACAAGGTTGCAGCAGTGAGAGACTTTTGCTAAATTTTGCTGTGGTGAGGTATACAAGATTCTCCCAGAAGGCCAGGAGTCCTGCAGCTTCACCCTCTGCTCAGGAGGGGTAATTCTTGGGGTTTTCAGCAGTCAAGGCTGCCCTGTTGGTGAATGGGGAGACTGCAGACCCTGGGAGAGATGGAGAGATGCTGGCTGTGGTGGTGGGCATTGGGGCCCGCTGGGGATGCACGGGATGGGACCTGTCCTGGGCTGTGTGCCTCAGCAAAGAACAGAGATCTGTAGACCCCTGGGTCAGCCTGAAAGCATTAAAATATGAGTATTTGAGCTAGTGACTGAGGCTGGGCTTCCAAGCTTTTCTGAGCAAGGAGCAGAGGGTGGAGGGGGATTTTTTTAGTCTCTCCAGCTGCTGCCTTTAGCCAAAGGGAGAGGGGTCAGGGTCTGTGCAGGTCTCAGCAGTCGCTGCTGAGTAGTGGCAGGGCCAGGGCTGGTACAGCATCATGCTCGGAGGGCATCTGTGTTAGGGAAAACAGACCTGTGTCTGCTGAGAAACACAGTCTGTTCCCTCTCTTGGGGGGCTGCAGGGGCAAGGCTGATTGGGGTCCCACACTAAGTGCAATTCCCCATTGTGTAGAGGTTGTGAATTGGAGTAGTTGAAGGCAGAACAGGTTTTCCTCGTTGCTGGAGGGAAATGCCACCACAATGCCTGGTCAGTGAAGGTGAGATATTTTTTTCAGTGTGGCCTTAGCGTGGCTTGCAGTGTCGTGACTGCCCTTTTGTAGGTGTTCAGCTCACTTTGTCCTCAGTGATTTTTCAGGGCAATCAAGTTTGGGATCTCAGTAGGAAACCACATACAAAAATTGTGGTGTCCCACTCCCTCCATGTAGCCTTTGCCAGTTACTTTGGTAAAGTAGCTGCCAAAGGCTTTGGAGGCAGAAACCCCACCTGGGGTGTCAGGATGTCAGGGCAGGGGTCCGTGATCCTTCCCACCCACGTGCCCCTCCCAGCACCCTGCGTTGGCACTGCGGCGTGAATCCACGATCCGGAGATCTGACATTGGCTCTGTCCCAGTGGCCAGGGAGGAAAAAGAATGCAGGACCATGGGAGCCATTCAAACCCTTCCCCGTGTGCAGAAACATCAGGACAGTGCAATTCCAAAGGAAGGGGGCCGCTCTCTGAGCCCACAGAAGTCCTCCTGTGCTCACACAAATCACACGACCCTCAGGTGTCTCAGTCCTGCGTAGGCACAAGGATGGGTTGGGATAAACTCTTCAACCCTGTGCGTTGTATGTGTCTTCTCTGAGGTTGTGTGAGTCTCCAGTGATCTTCTGTCCAGGCCAGAAACTCCAGGAATTAAGCGCTCCTTTCCCTTTCTTCTGTCCACAACTTCCACTTAGTTGTATTGTTTGGTATTGTCGTTTCGTTCTGTTTTAACAGTGAAGCAGCAACATCTTTTTGCCACCTGACACCATGCTAATGTACTATTGCTTCTGTTTAAAGGAAAGAGCAGCAGCCCGAACCATCGCCAAGGTCTGTATCACTGCCAACACGCCATTCCCATGCATTCCCTGTAGATTTCTGTGTACGTGTGTGCGTGTGTGTACCATGTCGTGGCGCCATCGAGGGAAGCATTCTAGGTATTGACGTGCTTGTTCTGTGCTGTGCCAGTCCAATGTATCCACGTGTATGCTGGACCTTAAATCATATCCTCCTTCCAGTCTGCCTCGGGCTGTAGCTGCGAGGGTAGCGAGGCTGCGGGAGGTAGGGAGAGTGGTGGCAGCACGGGCAGAGCTGGCAGACACTCAACCCGGGGTGACAGCAGGGCTTTGGTTTATGCTTCTTTATTTTATTTCGTTGCTGGAGTCGTAGCTGGAGTGGCATTACACGGGCTCAACGTGTGCCGATGGGTGGGTGATGCTTTGCCCGTGTCTCCGTCACCCAAGGCCGTGCTGGGCAGAGGTGACATGGGAACACGAAGCCATCACCGTGTCACCAAGTCAGCAACTTCTCCTGAGCTCCTCTCGCTGCAGGGCACTGCACGGGGCCGCGCCGACCTGCTGCTCCGTGGGACACAGGAGGGCTCTCTGACACGGCGCAGCGTGGCATGTTAGAGACACCCCTTCTCTACCCCCTTCCCTCTGGATGAGGCACAGTCCCTGCTCCATCTTCCCTCCACGCCTCGAGTCCACGACGCAGAGCGTGGTCTGAAACGTAGTGAGCACTTTCCAAGGGCAGCCGTAAATCCCACCTACGGGAGAGCTTTTTGCTACTCACGTGTCCCAGGGAAAGCAACAGGGCTGGTGTTTGGGATACTCTTAGGATACTTTTCATCCTCTTAAAAGTGTTTGATTCTGGGATTTTTTTTTTGTCCTATGTTTTCCCAGTTCTTTTAAGAAGTAATTCTGGGACTGAATCTCTTTTTTTTTTTCTTGAGTGAAGAGACACAGAACTGATGATCTGTGGAGATCATCTACTTGGCTTTCAGATCTTCCATCTCATACCTCAAAACATAGCTTACAGCCTAAATTTTCTGAACAATGAATATGTTTTTCAGAAGTACAGCTAGAGCCTGGCATTCTGCAGATGTACCTCTCAGCCATGCCTTTTAGCTTATAAGAGGCCAGAAACTAATTTTTCTGTGGCATAAAAGCCAACCAAAGATATCTGGGTAGATATGGTGCTGACTAAAGTATGAAATTTAATCTTTCCTCCTTCCTTCCCCCTCTCCCCTCCCTCTTTTTTTTCTGTCTTTCATTTGAGCTTTTCTTTGCAAGCAGAACCTCTGTAGCATTCCATCCACTTTCCTGCCAAATAACCCAAATCTCCAAGATCATGTTTCAACTATCCAGATTTTTTTTTTTCCTATTTGGGGTCTCAAGTGTAGCTTGAGCAAAGGCAGCCTCCATCCATCATTATTAAAGCAGGGAACATTACATGGGAAGGGCTCTCTGGGAGCAGACCAAGGCTGAAATCTTGCCTACCTGCCTGTGGCATCAGGAGGGTCAGCATTTCATCCCAGGGTCTGGCTGCTCCACTGTTCTGTCTCAGCCAGTGATATACTTTGGATGCATTAAAGGGTAAATCCACATTTCTCACAATGTGACAATGAGACAAAATCTCTGTTCAGCTCTATCAGATCCATAGAAGAGGAGATCTGAGGTCCAGCAGTCCCTCACAGGGTCACATCAACCAGCAGCTCTGTAATCATAGGTATTAGTCTTATTTCTCAGGCACTAGTTTTATTTCTTATTTTTGAATCTCAGTCCTGTCTTACAGGGTTCATATTCACCAGTTAAAACATTAGGTTGTATACAATATTTCTTCGTAGAGGTTGCAGGTTTCTCCCTCTTCATTTTCTACATTGCCTTCTCAATCTTATGTCACAGAAAGAGGTAAAAATAGTCCTCCCCTATCCTTTTCCAGAGTATTTTTTACTATATAGGACCTATATATAGGTCCTTCATCAGAGTCATTTCTAAAGGCTGTTTCCTGCTGCTGTGGTGCATCTGTCTCTTGTGACACCGATGGGTTTTGTTACTAAACCCAGACCCAGGAGGGTTAAGCTGAGGGTCTGCAGCTGCTGTGTAAATAACGTTAGAGTATGTTCCGTATTGTTTAGTTCAGCTGCCATGGCAGCACCAAAGCTCTTTCCTTCTGTTTTGTTAGGACAATATCAATTCTACCTGCTCCCACTGTCCTCTTTCTGCCTGATAATGTCTCAGCCCTCAGGAAGGAATTTTGCGTTAAGGGAGGACCAAATTACCTATTTTCCCCAAAAAAATTTTCTCGATCTTTTGCATTCACATCCCAGATCTTCCACCCACTTTAATTTCCAGCAGCCTCCTGGTGATGCTCAGTGTATCATCCTGCCCTTAGAAAAGAGAACTCATCCTGTTTCTCTGCCCACCCAATAGTTAATCACCCAGTCGCTGATGATGCTTCACTCAGGAAGCTCCTGGGGATGAATTGTCTCTCATAGCAGAAGCTTTTATTGCTTCAGCTGGTAAAGGATTTGCCACTCTCCATTTCCATTGCTGTAAGGAAACAGTCTAACACCTGGAGATAGCAGGTGTAGTGATGTATAGAGAGTGGCTGATTTCCTATATCCCTCTTTCCATGATTGATACACCACAAAGTCCTTACAGCAAACGAAACAGAAAGAGTTTTCTCACTATTTTGCATCTTAATGTATTTTAAGTTTAGAGATTTAGAGAAGGGATGCTGGCACAGCTTTTGGGAATGTGCTGTGCAGGAAAAACATTGCCTTGTGAGGTCAAGGAGCATCCCAAGCATTCTGTCAGCTCACAGGGTGGCTGTCAGAGTCATGCTTGTTCACAGTGGTGATGCTGCCCTCTGACCCCAGTGCTGCTGTGGCCGTGCTGATTTCTGCCCAGGCAGCACTCAGAGAGCTGCTGCCGAGGGTGGGAGGATGTGAGGAGGTAATGGGGTTAGTGTTGCAGGGGCTCAAGGTCACCTCAGGTGGCTTTTGCTTTGGTCATAAAATGGGACAGCTGATCTGAGAGACAGGTTACGTCCTTTCTCTGTCGTTTCTGTTTTGTTTTCCACCACAAGCCTGTCTGAATCCATCTGAGACCAAGAGCTGGGAAAGCTCCTTGCTGACCTGCTTGGGGGCCAGGAGCTCACCTCCCCCAGACGTGGAACTCAGGCTGTGAGGAGCAGAAAAGAGGCTGGCCTTTTTCTACGTGCTACATACCTCTTCCCCTGCTTTTATTTTCCTCCCCTTTTAAAAAAAGTAAAGCTTTCAGGGCCTCCTGTTACCTGTTGCTTTGGGTGCTGTGTCCACCCTGCCATCTGCCCTGGCTGAGCAGTTGCCCCCTGCCCCTCCTCAGGCTGGCTGTGCTGCCAGGGCACTGAGAACCCATCACACCTCCGAGACCACTGCTGTCATGCAGGGTCCAAATCGAATCCTCTCTGCCTCATATCCCCAGGGAGGTGGGGCTGCTCTGTGGTGATGCTTTCCTCACCCCTTCTGCTGCAGAAAGGCAGCAGAACAGACTGGTAATGGGGTGTGATTACTCTTCTGTTAATTAGGGGTGAAATTAGCTGTGGCATCTCATTTCTGTTTATTTTGCTTTGATTATAATATCAAAAAGACACATGGTTAGCCAGGGCTGTGGAGGCTCCTGTACAAAATGTGGGCTTCAGATGCTCTTTAACAGATGGTTTGATAAACATCTGAAGGCATCCATGACCACATTTATTCCTCTTGTATTTTCCAAAATACAATGAGATGAAAAGCTAAAAATTAATGAGCCAAATGATCGTAATAATACATTAATATCAGAGAAAAAGAAACAGAAGGATTCCAGGGAACTGGGAAGCTAAAACTCAGATTACTTTGTCCAGCATGAGTTCAGTGCTGTAGGTAATGAGAAGAACCTCTTTGGAAGGTTGTTCTCAGCTGTGGTTTGTCCTTGACCCCAATGAACTCAGCAGGACCTTGGCCATGGATTGAGTGGATGCTGGACTGGGCCACCTTGTAACGTGTGTGTATATCTGTGTGTATATCTCTCTATCAGTGTATGTTTATGTCTGTCTGAGATACACACATTAATATCTCTGTCCAGGGGTGTGATTAAGGCTTTTGTATGCACTGGAGGATGCCTTTGGTTGACTCAGTGGGCCCCTGCTCATCCAGCCTAGGGTGTCCGAGGTGTCCCTAACCTCTACTGCCCGTGGAAACCAGGGCCAATCACAGGAGCCCAAGGGGCCACATTAGCCTGGGCTGGCATTTGCCCTTCTAACCAATTAAACTGGTGTCAGAGACTCATGCTGGGACTGACAGTAATCTGGAAATAATCAGTTGCCTTTAGGGGAGCGGATTATTTGCGCGGAAGGAACTGCATCTTTCTGGAGAGGCTAAGAGGAGAGTAACCCACACGTCTCCCTGAGGCTCTGCATGCTGAATGTCCCACTCCCACGCCAGCTCCAGAACAGCCCCAGTAGCACCACCAGTCCCTGGGGCTACCTGGGGATGCAGGGTGCCGTTGTGGGCACCTGAGGAGTCCCCAGGATGCCCAGGGTGGTGTCGGCTGAGCTCACATGGGATGCTGTGCCCACGCGCTCCTCCGACTGCCGACTTCAAGTGCAACACGAAATTGGGGTTTGATGCCCTTCGGCCTTTTCAGTCTGCCCATGAATTTGGCAAGTGCTGCCTGCTGGTGGTTGGTGGCCTGGTGGGGTGATGGGGGCCACATCATTCCCCTTCCACAGGTAGAGGGCTGCTCCATGGCATGGAGGACCCTGGTCGTGGTGGTGATCTCCTGGCAGGGCAGTGCCTGAGCAGTGATTTGGGATGGAGCTGTGGTGGTGCCTTGTCAAAGTCAGTAACTCCCCAGAAGTGGTAGGGCCTGTCTAAAAAGCACCATGAAAACCAGATGTGTGAACACAGATGTTCAACTCCCTTCCCATAAGGGACTGCACCACACCCCGTTTAAATCTATTTTTATTTTTTTAAATGCCAGGCTTAATTTAACTCTATTTCCTGTATGAGAAGTGCAAATAATTCACAGATTAACTAGCTTTCTTTGAGAGTGGGGATTTTTTGGGGAAAAAAAAAAAAAGAAGAAATTTGAGCTTTTTTGATACTGTTTGACAAAACAAGTTAAAGTTTTGGCTTTCCATTGCTTAGACAATTAAAAAAAACTTATGGGGTTTTTATTTGTCTAGAGGAAGAGGAGAGTATTTTTTTGTTTCCAATGCAGATAAAAAAAATCTTCCTGTAGTTAATTGTAGATAAAATGACGCCACCAACTCAATGCAGAATGCATCAGTTCTAATAATGAAATTTACTGACCACAGTGAGACAAATTTCAGAAACCCTCTTGATTTTTAAAGTTTTTCTTTTCACTTAGCACTCAAAGAGAACAATCCTGTCATGAACCCGGCCCTCAAAACACCTGTCTTTTAAACCTAGAGTCAGTAATCAAAAGTTTCCTGTCTGGCATTTGCTTCCAGGTCTAATTTTTACTCTCCCCTCATTTCCAGTAAGAGCAAACCGTGCAGAGAGTCACTTTGCGGATGCTGCTCAGGAAACTCTAGGTACCACGGGAAATGCGTCGCACGAAACTAATCAAAAGCTGCACGGCTCATTCTCCCTCTACCCTGCTACCACCCGTTCTGATCACTTCTCTGCTTAATAGAGGTACTAGATGAGTAAAAAAAGGTGGAAGAGCCTCCCCACTGCCCGCTCAGAAATCAGAGGCTTCCTTGTCTGCCGATCGTGCAGAGCACGTGAACCAAAGAGATGAGGATGGGGAATTTGTTCTGGGCTAGCAAGCCGGTGTTTGCTGAGCGAGGGAGGAGGTCAGGACATGAAGTTTAACAAATGATGGAAAATTAAAAATAAAAAAAAAAAAAAAAAAAAAATTAAAAATTTAATTTTTTTTTTTCTAAAAAAAAAACAAAACCGCCCCTTCCTCCCTATCGCTCCATCCCTCCTCAGGGTCCAGGGAGTCCTTGCAAATTGAATTGCACTGTACAGCAATGTCCAGTTAGCAGCATGAGAAATGCCAGCTTCCTACCTCTGCTCAGTCACCGTTCCTTTGGCTCTCTGAACACGACAAATTGACCTTTCCTAGTCTTGTGGCCTTTGGAAGCCATGGCTTGCCTATCTAGCACCTCTACTACGCAGCTAGAGAAGGACTAATCTCAGCCTGTCCCGCCAGACATAGGGGACACGGGTTCCCCTGAGCGTTGACATTGGCATTGTGAATGGTTCTGTTTCTAGACCCTGTGGGGAACAGACAGCTAGAGCTAGAGCAGAGGGTTTTGTACAAGCAGGGTTTGCATCTCTTTCATCAAGCTGACAATTGTTAGGTGGCTTCAGGGAACTCCCAGCGAGCATCCCTTAGCACACCCATGGCCATAAGGGTACAGAGACACACATATCTCGTGTTACCTGTGCGTAAATACGTCTACATCCACACCTGCACTGGAAGAGTCTCTTCCCCCACCTCAGGCACTGCTTCCCAGCAGCAAACATGCACCTTCTTGAGAATTCCCTCTGCCCGGAGTTTGCATGCTGTGAATGCTGGCAGGGGCCCCCCCCTCAGCTCCTCGCCCCGCAGCCAGGCAGGTGGACAGCCCAGGAGTGGCAGGGCACTGAGTGATGCCGCATGTTTGTGAACTCGGATTTTTGCATGCTCTTTTTTGGAGTCCGTCTTAATTCTCAAAATCACCAGTCTCTGTCTCCCTCAGAAAGCCAACAAACTACAGCTTTAAAAGCATAAAAACTACAGTTCTAACAGTATATGTATCTCTGATTTTCTTCATTAATTGTTTCAACTTGTATCTTTTCTTTTCTTGCAATTTTTTTGACCTGCTAGCTGTTTTTGTTATCTGTCAGTCAGGACTCATGCCTGAGGCTCGTGTGTACCAGGAGCTCAGAAGTAGAGTGGTAAATCCCATCTCTGAATGGGTAACAAACAGGAATGGGGCATGATGTAGGGTTCATAATGAGCAGTTCTCCATGTTAGGAAATCCTTTACACCGGCATAAATAGCCTGAACCTTTGAGTCAGCCTCCTGCTGCATGTTTTGATGGTGCTGGGGCCTTCCTTGAAGTTTAGCCTTGAAAGCTGTGGTTGAAATAATGGGTGATCAGCAGTTGCACAGGCAGCATTTCGAGACATTTCCAAATGGCAAAGATTTGGTCAATAGTCTAGCTGAAAAAATTATCCTGACTTCTGCAGTGTTTCCTTTTGCCAGGTGAGGTTGTTTTATCTGGGGAGGCATAGTGTGAGCAAGGACTCCTCCCCAGAGAAAGCCTCCTTTCAGTTACTTAACGTTGAGGTTGTTTTTGGCAGAGATGAAAACGAGCAGTGCTGTTCATAATGCTGTCCTCTCATCTGTCCATGTCCAGTTCTGTGTTCTGGAAAATCAGCCACTCTGATCTCAATGTTTTCCTTGCATGTCTTCCTAGGCATGTATTTTTAACTGCTAAAGCCAGTGTAATTTTTTTTTTCCTCTTTTCTACTGAATTCCTTCCCACTGTGGTCCTCATTTCATCTTCCCCGTTTCGAGTTCTGCAAGGGAAAGGGAGGATGGAACAAAGTATTACCTTGAGGTCTTCTTAATCCATTGGTGACCCTGAAAAGGAGGATTACAGACTGTAGTTCTTCCAGTAAAAAAGGAATCTGGAACTTTGGAGTAGCTACAAGGGCATCTTTGTTACCTGCATCCATCCTGAATGTAGTGTTATACACCCTGTGCTTTAGTATAACTGTAGGTGACTGTGAAAGGACATAAAAATAATTCAGATGTCTTGTTTTCCTGGACCCTTAGGTGCCTGCCCACAATCCCCACTGCACAGGCTCTTGTGGCAGATGCCAGCACTTTGATGCATCTAAGGCTGAGTGCTAAAAGCCTTCATCTAGGATGCATAAAACGAAATAACCGTAAACGATGAAGCAATCATGGAAAACTCAATGTAGGTAAATTAATAGGAAACTCCTTAGAAGCTGTGGTTTCTTAATGTACTAAACCAATGATCTTTAGTCAATAAGTGCAATAACACATTCATTTTTAGACAGTAATGTAACTACACCAAGCCAGGTTATCAGGTCTATTGTGTTCTGCTTTGTAAGAGACTTTTCCTGGTGCACTCACAGATGAAGGCACCTCAGAGACCTGACAATGGGAAGAAGTGGCACCCAGGCCAGTGAAGGAAAGGTGTTTGCACGACCTTTGACTGGCCTGTGGCTCTGGGTGTAGCAGGTGTCTTAAAAGCTTGCTCAGGAGCAATCAGCCAGCTTGGAGGTGCAATCTGGCTGTTCTGCTTTGCTCCTGAAATGCAAAACAGCTGAGCTGGCAAATAGCAAAAGGTTGGGAGGACATGCAGGATGTGGCTGATGTGGTGTCTGACAGCACTCAACATCAGTTTGGGAAAAAAAAAGGCTGTGAATTAGGAAGAGAGGGGTGATTGTAATGGAATGCTGCAGAATACAAAAAGCCAAGGTTAGAGACTTGAGGCTGGCTCCAGTGTCCCTTCACTCATCCAAGGCCCCATGCTTTTCCGTGCTTATGTGGTGGCTGTGGGGATGGGGCAACCCCAGTCTTTGCCATTATAGTTCCAGTGACTCCACTGTGGTTGTGGAGGAGGAAAAGAAGAGAGATTACTCACTATGACATGATCACTGGCTGACATTTTGTTTCCCTTATGCCCAGGTTATTCTGCTTCTAGAAACTCCATCCTCTAGGCTGAATTCACCTGAAATCACTGGAGGCAAACCAGGCTTGAGCTTGGCCCTCTCATGATTTCTGTTTTAGTCATGGCAAGTTTTGCACACTCAGTTGTATTTTCCTTTCCTTCATATCCCCAGTAATTGGTTTCTGCCTCTTATTCACACCTGCAATCAGACTGGAGCCCAGTCAGCCACAAAGGCTGTCATTCATTCCTGGCACTTCTGCTTGGTTTTAATGAGCAGTTCTCATATGCCACGAGCTCAGCACAAACTCTGGATTTAAAAAATGTACCTCATTTACCAACAGGAGACAACCCCTTTCTCCTGGCCACAGCTTCTCAGAAGAATGAGCACTGATACTGGTTGAGTTTGGATGCAGAGATGGATCTGAGTCTGTGCTAGTCCAACTCAGTTTGGCTAACTGAGGAGAAAAAGAAGTAATGGCTCAAGCATAGTTTAAAATCAATGACAAGACATTACAACTGATACTTTTTATTGATCCAAAATTACTGCTAATGTAATGAGTCCACATTTTTTAAAAGTGCTGATTTAATACTGTAGAGAACTGGAATGAACCCCAAACCAGAGTGTTTCAAACAGGGCCTCAAACCCCTGGTGTCCTAAGGAGGCTGATGGCAGCTCATTTTGAAGGTCAGCTCTCAAGAATTTCTCTGCTGAGTGCTGAGCTGTTGGACTTAAATGAACCAAAATGCAAAGCCCACTAGAGCAGTGAGAATCCCTCCATCAGCCGTGGCCCTTTCATGTCTGTCCAGCACTGGGCTCTCATTTTTTGGCTGGCAGCAGAGAAAAACCAACTCAGCTTCTATCCTTCATTAAATTCAAGTCAAAAGCTGAAAGTTTTTTAAACCATCTCCAAAGTCAGCCTGGAAATGTAATTCTTTTGTTATCGAATATGTTTTCATAGATGCCAACTGAAAGCGGTTACGAGGATGTAGAGCTAAAGCACAGCCTGTTAGGATGTTATGGCTTCCCATAATCTGTCTCTGGTTGCAAAGCCACAGTTCTCTCTCCCTTCCCTTCCCCTGGCACGAGCAGGGCACGACTGTGAGCATCAGTCCATGCTGTGTGTGTGGCTGGGGTACTGCTGTCCTCATGTTCATGTCACCAACACATACACTCTCCACTGAACTGAGGCTCATTTACCATCCTCTCGAGTGACATCCAAACACCCCTTCTCCAAGACACTCCACGTGCCTCTGCATGACTTTCTGGTTGAATGAGAACATGATCTTGGATTAGCTGGCAACATATATCCCTATATATGTCTGTATTTCTTTGGGACTTTCTCCTACCAACTCCTGCTGACCCCAACAGCATTCTCCTCTGCAGGGATTGTACTTGCATGTGATTCCAGGTGTCGTTTCCAAGGAGAAAATTGCATGGCAGAAGGAAAAATTTCAATTAATTGTTTGTGTTGTCTCATGTCATCTGTGTTAAAAAAAACAGGTTGTATCAGGTGTTGGGTTTTTTTCCTGAGTAGTGAGTACTTGGGAACAAAACCCACCCAGATCTTAGTTGTTCATCAGATTTCTGTGAGATTTTTCAATGTGTTGCACCTCAGGCTGTCAGGCTTGAAACTCTTTGCTCATATCCCTCACCGAGTTGAACTCTTTCTTTTTTGCCTTTTGTGATTCCTGCAAACATTTTCAGCACATTTATTGTGGGAATGGGAAAAATTCCCCAAGGAAAAGGCTCTGCTTTACTCAGTGAAAGGCAACTCATTTTATGCTGGGATCAGTGATGGGAGCAACACAGCAGAGGATGAGGCACAAAGAGACTGCTTTGAAGTCTGAATATTTCTGTGTTGCTGATGCATTTTTATAAAATTTATTTTTAGAAAAGACCAGGTAATTCAAAGTATTAGTACTACCAAAACTCAATGGATTCAAGAAATATTCTTCTGTAAAATCAACAAAAAAATAAAGGAAAAAAAATCCAATTGGCCTATTTAGGATCAAATGACAAAATTTCAATCTGGTTTCTTATCCAATAAACACAGAATGAGAATTGCTTTTAAACCTTTGGCTCATTATGTGCAATGATTTTGGTAGCATTAGTGGCTAAGGCTTACATCCAGAAAGGTATTTAGGCACGTGCTTGTTCCCAGATTCCTGTGTGGATTTTTACCTCTGACCTGAATTTCAGCTCTGCTGAAGGTCTGTTGGTCCCATGGCTTTCAGACAGCCCCTGCAGGTGGGCACCAGACTGGGAATTCAATCTCCAGCACTTATCTGAATTAATAATTCATCATTAATTGGGTTAATTCTGCCTTTTCTAACTTGCTCATGAGCAATTTTATTTTCTCTCGAATGTGTCTTTCAGTGTGCAGTTGCTGCTGAGCCCGTGGCCACAGCTAACCCTGCCCTGCAGCACAGGGGATGCAACTCTGCAAACTGCTGCCTAAGCACCTTTCTCCCCCTGTCAGTGTTTGTTGTCTCGCAATGTAAAGTGACTTTGTAAAAATAGCACCTTCTTACTCGACAGATCTGCTCCCTGAGTGTCCTCGGGTCACGTCTTCTCCCTTTACTGGGCAGAGAGTGTGTCTGCTCCTGTCAGCAGAGAACAGCCGGCGGCTGCGAAAAGGGAGCCGCGTTTTGCTTTGCTTCAGAAACCAGCAGCCAAGCTCTGATTGAAGAGCCCCGTGCCAGTTTTGAAGGCAAAGGAGGGCTGTTTGGCTCTGAGTGTTCAGGTGGTGTTGCTGAAAGACGCACGCAAAAAAAAGCAGGTCTTTGGTTGGTGAGCTGGAAATCTGATGTGGAAATCAAAATTTCCTCAAATGTTCTTCCTGCGAATTCAGGCAGAGCGTTTGCAGCAAAATGATAAGTGGCTACTGTGATGGTGCAGAGTGTTGGGAATTAAATTCCTGTTTTCACTGAGTTTTGATATACCTATATATAAAATATTGGCTCTGTGTGCAAGTACGTTGCACTGGTTATCCAACCTCTATCAGTGTAGTTTAATCATTAATTGCTATTGAGAAAATATCAAATGACTCAAAAGTACTTGCAGTTTGGTTTCCCCAATGCTGTCTCTATAAAGTTTGCCCTTTTGTAATGATTCACAAAATCTCTTTGTTCTGCAATTTTCAAGTGAAAATTTGTTATCTTCATTTGAGTGAAAGGTTTTAATTGCAAATTTCAGAATTTGGAAACCAGTTAGAGCTGGGTTGCCAGCAGACTGTTTCCCAGTGAGTTCATCTCTGTTTCTGCAGAGTGCTTCTTTTCAAACCATAAATCCAAGGATTCTAGCAGGAAAAAAAGCAATAAAATGCCGTATTCTGAAGTTGTAAAATTTTGCTTTGCATGTTTATGACACCCGTAGCAGACCTTCAGGGAGATGGCAGCTTTTAGATTGAATTTTTATAGGATACGAAGGAGTTGCACATTTAAGTGTTTGTATTTAAGTGTTTGAATATATGACTGGATAAAGAGGAACCCTTTGGAATATATAAAAGGGGCAGATCGTGTTTTAAGAGGGAGGAAATGCAGGAGTTGAAGAAAGGGAAAGGACAGGTCTGAGCACCAGAAGCGAAGTGTTTCCACGAAAGCTAAAAGTTTTAAGATAATGGGGGATTTTTTTATTGGTATTTTCTTATTAGACATAGTGTTTTGGAAGGCAGTTGTGAAAGAAAAGCTTCCTAACTCGTGACCGGAGCTGATCAGTGATTTAAGGAATCATAACCTCATTGTTGATGTCATTCTGTCCCGCCAGCCCTGGCATCCCACAAGGGGCTTCTGTTTAAGTCCTCATTATTTTCTCTCTCTTAAGAATCATTCCCATTTCACTCATGATGACGGAAACATCTCTACAAAGCTTTCTTTTTTAAAAAAAATAAAAAACCCACATATATTGGAAAAAAAAAAAAAAGCCAACAGCAAAACTACATGTCACTGCTGCTTGGAAGTGCTCTTGGTTTCTAATGGCTGGTGGGGAAGGACTGCGTGGTTTCCAGAATGACTCCTCCTGCTGTCTCCTTTTTGTCTTTGTTTCAACGTGTTTCTCTGAACAGTCAGAAGGTCAGTTTGAAAGATCGTGTCTTCTCCAGTCCCCGCGGTGCTGGCACCAAAGGGAAAGGCTCTCCACAGGCTCAGGGCATGAGGAGGTCCCCCAGTGCTGACCAGAGCATCGAGGACAGCCCAAGCAAAGTGCCCAAGAGCTGGAGCTTCGGAGACCGCAGCCGAGCCCGGCAAGCTTTCCGCATCAAGGGAGCGGCGTCGCGGCAGAACTCGGAAGGTGAGGGTTTGGGGCACCGTGAGAGACCCCCAGATTCCCAGCTGACCCCGACATCCTCTCCCTCCCCACCTAAGGAGGTGCCATCCAAGGTGCTTATGTGGGTCTCCTTCCCCCCCCCCAGTCCTTTAGCTTGGAGTAGCCTGAGGAACCTGATCTAGTGGAAGATGTCCCTGCTATTGCAGGTGTGTTGAACTAGGTGGCCTTTTAAAGGTGTGTTGAACTAGGTGGCCTTTTAAAGGTCCCTTCCAACTCAGACTATTCCATGATGATTACAAGAGGCAACAAAAGCCCTTCTGACACCCATGACAATGTATATATTTCGGTATATAGGGATGGGGAAAGGAGGAAGAGTCAGGCTTTAGGACAAAGGGAAATGACCTCAAGTTGTGAGAGGAGAGGCTTAGGTTGGATATTAGGAAAAATTTCTTCACTGAAAGGATGGTCCAACCCTGACACAGGCTCCTCAGGGCAGTGGTGGAGTTGCCAACCCTGGATGGATTTAAAAGACACGCAGATGTGGCTTTTGGGGACATGGTTTAGTGGTTGGGCTTGGCCCGTGCTGGGGTAATGGTTGGACTCAGGGATCTTAGAGTGCTTTTCCAGCCCAAATGATACTGTGATTCTCTGATCAAGAGATGGATGAGAGCTGCAGTTGGCACTGCTGAAATTCACCTGGACATGTCTCAGGAAATGCTCTGCTTTGGATGGTCAGCAAAGGCATCTCTGGTGCCTGCCCAGGAGTTGCTGATTGTGATCTGACTCATCTTCCCTTGTGCGGCACCAGCGCAGGAAATAGGTAACATGTTGTTTTTATTCCTCTCTCTCCCAAACCCAGAAGCAAGCCTCCCTGGAGAAGACATCCCCGATGAGAACAAAAGCTGCAACTGCGAGTTTGTGACAGAAGATTTGACACCAGGGCTGAAAGTCAGCATCAGGGCAGTGTGGTAAGAGAGGGAGAGGGGGGAAGCGGTCCAGGAAAGTAAATAATAGGGAAAAATTAGTGTAAAGCCCAAGAAGTGGTGGCAAATGCTGACATGTCTGTGCTGCAGGCTGTTTTTCCCCTGGGTGGCTTGCCCTGCTTTACAGAAAATTTTGCCAGAAAGGGTGATTTTTGCTTAGGGAAGGAATAAATGGAGAAACAGGAAAATCTCCCGCAGGGATGCATCCAAATGATCGTTCTCAACAGCTTTGAGATTTAGCGCTGACATTTATAAAAGTGATGCAGAGAGCACATGCACAGATGACAGTCCAAGGGGCATCAGGGACCCCCCGTCGCAGGCAGGGCTTCAGCCACCAGCCCCCGCAATCCCCTTCCCCTCTCCTCTTGCCGCATCCTCTCCCAAACCTGCAGGGTTGGGATTTATTCCATTTTCCTTCCAAAGCAGCTCCCTGCAGTGTTTTTTATCTGCCATTAAGCGGGTCAGGCTGCAGCCCAGGGACCATATTTTGATCCTCCTCTCCATCTCCCGCAGCATTATGAGGTTTCTCGTCTCCAAGCGCAAGTTTAAGGAGAGCCTTCGGCCCTACGACGTGATGGATGTCATCGAGCAGTACTCAGCTGGTCATCTGGACATGCTCTCCCGGATTAAAAACCTTCAGGCCAGGCAAGAGACCCCTCTCTTTGCTTCATTTTTTTTCACTGGTTTTTGTTCATTGTAGAGGTATTGTCACGAGAGAGACACTGTCCTTTGCAGCTACAGCTTATTCTTTTCCTAAGAGAAATCCTCAAGGAAAACATCGGTGCTTGTGGCTGGAACCCACAGGGATGAGCAGGACAGGGACTGCAGAAAGGGAGTGTTATGCCACTAAAACTGCCTTACTGCCCACCAGAGGACATACAAAAATCGTGGCTCATCCTCCTATTTTATTTCAGGAGCTTTTGGCATTGTATTATATCCCATAGGTAAGGTGTGTACGTATCTCCATGGTCCAGGATGCAAAGGTTTGGTGCCCCAGTCTTAAGGCAAATGTGGGTCATTTGATAACTTTCTGGAGTGCTATAAGAAAAAAATTTGGTGTCCTGGTTGTGGCCCTGCTGCCACAGACAGAGAGAGCAGTGAGGAGGCAGCAGCTTCCTCCCACCATTGGGATGCTAAGCTGTTTGGGGAGGGATCCCTCCTGGGATGGCACAGTCTGCTGAAAATCTGTGCAGATGGGGGTTTCTCATCCAAGCTCACCGATGTAGGTGGGGTTTAGCCGAGCTGTGTTTTAGCTTCTGTGCTCAAATTTTAAGGGGAGACATGTTAATTTTAATACGAGAAGAAATGTGAAAAGGGCACAGATGGAACCGAGAAGGTTCCATTTTTTTTTCAAGTTTCTCTTGGGAAAAAAAAAAACTCAAACAGAAAAATCTGGTCCTTTGAACAGAGGATCTGAGCTAAACCTTTTTGTCTGACCACTCCTCCCTCAGCCCTGGTGGCCCACATTGAAAAGGAGACCCCAAACTCCCAACACCCATGGCTGTGTCAGCTCAGCAGAAGTTCTGCTGAGCTTGAAGGACACCCAGAACAGTGGCAGGACTTGGCCATAGGCAACCTCCTGTCAAAATAATACACCATTTATTTTTACATTTGGAGAATGAAATTATTTCTCTTGATGGTTGTGGCAGCCCAGCTTCCTCTGAAATCTGTTGAGGAAGTTTTCCTCTAATTTCAAACCCATCTAGGTCCCTGGTAGAGTCAGAAAATGTGCAAAAAAATGTGTTTGGGTATGCAAGCAGATAACATGAACCACAGGAATGAAGTAGGAAAAATATCTTGGGAAAAAGAGGAATCTCTCTTCTGCCATGAATCTCTCAGAGACCATTTTAACTCTGCTATTTTTGATATTCAAGACGCAGAGGTAACTTTCTCAGTGTTGCTGCACACTGTGCATTTCCCAGAAGGTACATTTTCCCTCGCGATGGAGACTAAAATATCCTGGAGAATTTCCACTCTCTGAGCCTCTCACTCCTGTTCAGTACAAATTCACTGATTACAGATCCAAGATGTGTAGCTGAATATGGAGGGGGAAGAGAAGGAGGAGGGGATTGATATTTCCTGGCTTTAATAACCTGAAGTAAGAGGCCTCCAAGCTGCCTCTGCAGTGGGTACTGAGCCACTGGGCTTGTCATCTCTGCTGGCTCCAGGAGGGACACCTGAATTTTCAACCCAAGCTGATGTGGCAGATTGCCTCACTGCCCACCCAAGTCTCCCACTGCCAAGCCTTCAAGGTGATGTGCTGCAAAGCCAAAGTAGTTTGTTTGGCTGCTTTTTGCTGGGAGGTTGGGGTAAGGAATTGCAGCTTTCAAAGACCAAACTGAATTCTCCTCTTAGCTGTACCCGTGGAGCTGTGAGGATGAGGTTCTGAGGCTGGATGAGGCTAGGGCTGCCACCCATCCCATCACAGGGAAGTCAGGAGGACCAGGAGCTGCTTCAAAAATGTGAAATACCTGGATTTGGGACCCAAGACTACCAGGCAGCTTCACTATTCCCACTGAGCAGGAGATCAGTGATGATGATGAGAGCAGATCCCTTTGGGGCCACCCTTTGGAGTCCTCATCATCATAGCCAGGTGAAACAAGAGGTCCCATGGCTGGTCACCTGCCCAGTACCACTGGAAGGGCACCCTGTAGAGAAGGTGTGTGCCTGGGGTGGCCACGGCCAATGTTGGACCGTGGCCAACGTTGGTTCATGACTAACTGGCACCAGGGCCGTGCACCCCTGCAGTGGATCCCAGGGTGGTTTGTCACAGGGCACCTTGGAGAACAGATATTTTAATTTCCCTTTCCTTCATCAACCAGTCTGGGAGCTGTGTTCCCCCTGCCAGCTCAGCTCAGCGGGGCTGGCTGTGACCTCCCGTAACCAGGGCTTTGGTGGATTAAAGCTGCATTCAAGCATATTTCTGGGGTGTTTACATGCACTTTCCTCTTTAATCATTAAAGCCTCTGTCACTGTGTCTGCAATATGCTCTTTTCAGTGTTGTGTTCACATTGTCTCGTGTTTCATCCTGACACCTCGCCAGCCATGGATGTCTCCCATTCATTGAGTTACACAATCCCGCAGCGTACCTCGCCGACTCCCAACAGCTCATGCTTCCCTGAGCTAGCTGAGGATGTGTTCCCTAGCCCTGGAACTGAAAGGAGAATGAATATATGTTGTTTCATATCCAACCACCTCAATGGGATATTGCTACACATATGCAAATATATTCCAGAGGGTAAAGCATGTTGCCTGTTGTATCTGGGGTGGGGGGAACTCCTAATGGTGTTGCCGTGGTGCCTAAATCTCCAAATCTTACCCTGAGGTGGGTAAGACACCAACAACCAGGTGGTAGGAGAGAGCCTTCTGTTTCCAGCGGAATATATTTTCAAATTCTCTCTCTTTCTGTCTCTCTGTCATTCTGTTTTTCAGTTGTTTCCTTCTGCAACTTTTCTGACCAACTTTTCTCTATGTGTTGCTTCATTATGCATTTTGCTGGTGTCTTTTCTCTTATTTACTTTGCCAGGATAGATATGATTGTGGGTCCCCCACCCCCTTCAACTCCCCGGCATAAGAAGTATCCAACCAAAGGACCCATGTATTCTTCCAAAGAATCTCCCCAATACTCGCCTAGGTTAGGATTCACCAAAATGCCGCTTTCTCTGGGTTTTTTCATTTGCTTAAGGTCAAACCCCTTTCATGCCAGTTATATGACGGCATCTATCACTTAGCAAAGCAGCCTGTGAAATCATGACACAAAGGGCTTGCTACTCTGGGTGTGCTCTGATTTGCTTTCAGTGATGAGCTTTCAAACCAGGCCAGCCAAAGGAAGACAAAAAAGGGACATTCATACAGTCATCAATAACCATCAGTTCCTTCAGAGAGTGTGTTTTCTATTGTCAGTCTTCTTCTAGGTGCTAGAAGGCTAAATTATATCTTTCTAAAATCTCATATTTTATCAGGCTATCTTCAGGGGTAAAAGGTGGAATATTTACCCACAAAGTAAGAATGAAGTGTTTTGTAGCTGATGAACACAGTGATCTCTGTTTCTTGCTGATGCCACTCTACTGACCATGGAGGAAAAAAATGTGTTAAAATATTACTACCATAGGACTTACATTGAAAAAATAAATAAATCCTGATTTTCCAAGGAAAAAGAGCAGGAGTCAAACCCAGCCCACAGTGAAATATTTCTCATTAAGTTCTATCCTTAAGTAAAACCATACCTGAAGCTCAAGCCATGAGGAACATATTCTCACCAAAATACCCATTTTAGGGCATTCTGAGTTCTGGGCAGCAAGGCAAAGACTGGGCTGTATTTTCACCTTGCATTGATACCACTGGAGCACAAGGGAGGTATAAATATTTGCCAGAAAGTCATTTTCCATGCAGAAACAGTAGATGATTCTTAAATGCAGAAAGCTTAGCCTCAAATATTTTTTTTTTCTAAATATATTTACCTCCCTAAGCGCTAATATGTGACAAATCTCTTGATTTTTATTTAAGCTGCTCTGAGTAATCTTCACTGGAGAAATGTGAGTAAAAGGAATATTGAAAGCTTACCCTTACCCACTCAGCTAGCTCAAACATTTAAAAAAGAGAATTTTCCAGAAGCCCCAAGCTTTATGCTTGAAAAAAAGATAGAAAAGCATTTTTTCCCATTTCTCCTCCCTGCCAAATGATGAGGCCCCAAAATAGTATTTGAAAATGAAATAACCTTCTTATCTGCAGAAACATTTAGATTTTAAAATAAAAATACATATTCAAGTGGATTTTGTTGTATTTAACCTGTAAGATTATACGTGCAACAAACATTACTAGAGGCAAGATTTTCATGTGAAAGCTTGTGCCTTGCACAGAGAAAAGTTGATTTCTGGATACGAGGGGAGGAGGCCTCAAACTGGGATATTTATTTTATTCAATCCGTTGCTGTATCAGCTTCATGTTAATGACTTTCTCTCCCCCTGTTTTTGCAGTTTCTAATACTGATTAAAAATCTGTTCACACATGCCCACTATGCTCCTGGGACATTTAGATTTTTATTTTAATAATTGCTCCCTTTCCCAGTGAATTTTTTTTCTTTCCTCCTTTATTCAGCTGTGGCTGCAGAAAACAGCGGAGTCCAGAAGGCTGCTGAAGTCTCTGCTCCCACCCATTAAAAGGCTTATGCTGTGCTTAAGTTTTGGCAGCTACATCCTCCCACAGGCACCAGTGGGACTTGTGAGGTGCTTAGGGTGCCTGATGGATGGGAACCAGAGCTCTGAGCAGCCCCAAGCCCAAATCCACTTATTCTAAGTGCAATCTCAGCTGTTATTTTTTAGACAACAGTTATTGATCAAAATTTGTTTAGAGCAAACTTTGTTGCCAAATGAGAGGGTAAGTAGCCAGTCCTGTGACATGGATGAAGGGGGTTTGGCTTCAATGCCTGGATTGTTTACAAAAATTTATAAGAGATAAATAAAAAAAGAAAAGACCTGAATAGATATTCCCAAACACTTCATTTTTATCTCATTTGAGCCATTTGACCTTTTTGATGTCTGCTTCTGGCCCCAGGGTGACATATTACACCTCTTTGCATGCACTGTTAGCATGAAGCATAATGAAGCATGAGAAAACCTGCACTGTGGCTGATGCAAGACTTTACATTTTTTTTGTATCATTAGAAAGACGGGAAGATAACAAAGTTCACTTTAAAGAGCAATCCCCTTGTCTCTCTCCCTCCCAAACTAAGACCCAGCAGAGCCTACCAAGAACAGCAGATGGCACAGTTTGTCATGCATCCTTAGAAATCTTTGAATCCTCTTCTGCTAGGAAGGGAGAAACATGGGGCTGACTCTGGCCAGAGCTTCAGCTGAATTCTTCCCTCTGCATGTGTGTATTTGGCACAGCCAAAGGAAGTGTTGAGAGGACACAAGGATGCCCACAGGGTGTAGTGTAGAAGTGGGATGGCCATGTCAGAAGATTCTTGGCCCTTTGTCACGCAGTAAGAACATAAACTATCCCCCTCTGCTTGCAAAATGGAAATAGAAATAGAAAATGTTCTGTCTTCTTCATCTTTCAAGCTTTGTGGCCCAATTTGGAAAAAATCTCAAAATCTTATAATGGCTAAAAGGACCTCCTGCTCTTGGCAGTCCTCAGCTAGGTACAGGTGGGTTGAGAGCTCACAAGGAATTTCTTCTTTTCTCTTACATCAGATAAGGCACAAATGAAATCTCTGCGCTTTGCTGAGGGTTGGAGCACTCTCCTGTGGTCCAGCTTCAGCCATGGGAAGCAAAGGGGTGGGAGACCTCGAGCCTGGTTTCTCCCATCAAGAGAGAAGGACTTGGTTCACCTTCTTCTCCCCTCTCTGCGCTGAAGTCAGTGTCCCACAGCTGCCCCTCACACCATCCTTGGTGCTGACCTGCCCCCAAGGCCAGATCTGGCCCTCTGGTTCCTCAGGGCTGTGTTCAAGTATAGACACAAAGGGAATGAATCAAGCAGGAATTCTGGGCTCTGGTGTCAATAGTTTATGGGAAAAGGCTTCTCAATGCTTTATGGGTGAGCTCTGTGAAGGACTTCAGTCCTGCCCCTAAATCACAGCAGGTCTAGAGGCAAGTTGTGTCCAGCCTGAAGGGGATGGACAAGTCAGTGCTGTTCTAGATGATGCTAGTGATCATTCCATCTGTGAAGTGCCAGCTGGCCCCTGAAATGGGCTGTATGAGGTTCACTTACCAGATAGCTCTTCTCTCAAGACATGGAAGAGAGCAGAAGTTCTGCCTCATTTTCTGCAAGATTAGAATTAGGGTTGCACGAGACTATCTCTGTTATTACAATGCAACACTCATTTTCCCTCTCTGTGTTACAGTCTGTCCTGCCTCCCTGCTCTACTCAGCAACTGTTGAGGCACATCTCATTTCCATTAGTGGACATATATGAGTGTCAGTGCTGTGCTGGATGGGACAGGAGGACAGAGCACCCCGTTTGTTCTAGGCCTTCTGCAGCATTCAGTGGCATTTAGACTTTGGACCTCTTTAAACGCATGTTCATTGTTTTACAAGTCTACCTGCTTGTGCATACAGGAGAGGAGTTCGTACAGTGGCTGTACTACGCCTTGACTTGTGATTCCAAACCAAGGTAGCCCGAGGTATCCAATTTAACAGCTCTTTGCTTACATGGTAACGGCATTGTCATAGGATTTCTTGTGCTGTATGTCATGTCAGTAGTTGCATCCCTTGTGGGGAGTTCCTGTACCTGTTAATAATTTCCTTCTCCCATTACAAGAGAGAAATAAGGCATGCATATTCCTCACACTTGTAATTATAGCACTTGGTGCTCCTTGTACTCCTGTGCTTATATTGCTAAGCAAAGGGTCAAACATGGCTTTTTAAGCAGAACAGTATTCTGTCACATCCCTGCCCAAATGAAGTATCTTCTGGGATCAAAGCTAAACTCTGAAATAATTGTTGGCTTATATTTTCTGTCTTTGATGTGATGTGCTCATCCACTTCATCTCTTTGAGCCAGAGCTGTAAACTGCTGTTGCTCTAATATAAGCTAAGGGAGCCACGCTGGTCCATACCCACTGATACCTGTCCCTTAATGTCAAACAGCCAACATACGTATGAAGTCCCTGTCAAATGTAAAGAAAACAGATGGCTCTTGTGTTGGAAATAGCCTCACGTCTCATTCCTTTCCTTGGTTTTTGTTTGTTCATTTTCCCCTGTCTGTCTGTGTTCAGCTCCTTCCTTTTCCTCCTCCTGGTGCATGGACCCATGGCCCACACGGCAGAACTGCGTAAGAAGCATTTTGAGTTTTCGCTCAAGATACCTCAACTTGGTTTCAGTCAGATTAATTAACCCTTCTTTTCCCCTGCCACCCTTACTTTTGGTGCATTATGCAAGAGTAAAGTTTGCCTGGCATAGAATTAGGCTGTAAACCGGCCTGCCATTAAGAAGCTGTTGCAAAACTGAGAGGCTCCCCTGACTTTTGAGGGATCAAAAAGCTTCTGTGTTTAGTTCTCAAGAAAATTTATATTTGATGCCTCAAATAAGATTGAGTTCCAGCTTCCAGACTGGCTCTTCCTTCCCTTCTTCCTATACTTATGGAGCTGTATATCATCCCAGGTGTATCTATACTGGGAATGAGAAGGTGCAAATGTAACGTGTGTAAAGAAGTTAGTACCTGTATCTGCTGATTTGGCAGGAGTATCCTCTGCTGTTCCCACCTTGGAGCTCTGCTAATAGAAAACATCTGATACAGGTGTGAACTGCAGTATCTTTGAGATGAAAACAATCTGTTAGTGTTTGGTGAGTTATGGCCTTGATGTAATTCCACTAAAACAGCACTGCACCTGTTTGTCTGGATCTTAGGACAAGCGGCTCATTTTCATGGACGTGAGAATTACACACGTGCATTTGCATTGAGGAGAGGAAACTGCTGCAGAGACTGAAAAAATCCCATTGGTACATTCTAGATAGAAAACTTGATCTCCCCCCAAAATAATAATTTCTCAGCGCAAATAAGGAGTTAATTGATTTGGAAGAAAGCCAGTTAAAGAAATTCTTTGCAGTGGGTAAATTTACTGTGCATAATGTGCCGGGTTTTATCTGTATAAACAGAAATGGATAATTTCAAACTCTGCTAATACTGCTCTGAATTTTGCATCTGAATTAACACTTCAGTGCCACTGCGTGTCTGTGAGTAATTTGGAGTGTTAGTTGGGCGAGAGGCTGTTGCTTTGTCCCACGGAGGCGCGACAAGCGGAGCCCTCCTCACCTGCTGCCTCCAACTGACTCCAGGTCCTTTTCCGGGGGTGGGGGGATTTTCTGATCCCGGTAGAGTTGACCAGATCGTTGGGAGAGGATCCTCCATGACTGACAAGGATCGGACCAAAGGGCCAGCAGAGGGGGAGCTGCCTGAAGACCCCAGCATGATGGGCAGGCTTGGAAAAGTTGAAAAGCAGGTATATTGGGTCAGGAGGGGGTTCTTGCAAGAGGGTGTTGCATGCATTGTGCTGGTTTTCTCTTGCCTTTTTTCCCAAGTGAGATGTTACTATTTAGTAAAAAAAAAAAAAAGTAAGAGCCAAGATTATTTTGAAAAAGAAGGAAGGTGGATGTTATGAAAGATCCCTAGATGTCTTAGAAGCCTAAATGCCACTTTCAAACAGGCACTTTGGAGTCTGTGACATATAGTCTTCCTTTTTTTAGTGAGTTTGTCAAAAGTTTACATTATTTCTGAAAACAGCACATTGGTTTCTTTGCCACCACACTAGACACATTACAAATGAGTCCCTGAGCCTGGCTGTTCTAGCTGATGGCCTTGCTGAAGATATAAAATCTTCTTGGAAGATAAGGCTCAGAAATCCCCCTAGCCATTTGAGTCCAGACAAGTGCCAAGTGCAGGAAGGAGCTGGAAGGATGCAGGTGTGCTTCAGCTTTTCTAGAATTTGGTGCCTGTCAGAAAGATTACAGCAGCATAAGGAAAACCCTGTAACAAGGGAAACCCTGTAACAAGGTGGAGAATTAAACCTGGAGAACAGGACAATTAAATATTTACTAAGGGTTTGAGGTGGTGTGGGTCAGCATAGGCAGAGGTCATCTATGAAGCCCAGCCCCACTCTTGCTCCTCGATGGAAGTTGCTTGTACTCCGGATGTTAATGTGCTTCAGAGCCTGCATGAGGCACTGGAACTGTGGTGTTTTGCAGGTTCAGTCAATGGAGAAGAAGCTGGACTTCCTGGTGAACATTTACATGCAGCGGATGGGCATCCCACCAACAGAGACGGAGGCTTATTTTGGGTCCAAAGAACCAGACCCGGCACCTCCCTACCACAGCCCCGAAGACAGCAGGGAGCACATTGACAAGAACGGCTGCATCATCAAGATCATCAGGTCCACCAGCTCCATGGGTCAGAAGAACTTCTCCGCCCCACCAGCCCCAACCAACGCATGCCCGCCCTCCACGTCGTGCCAGCGGCAAAGCCACGGCTCCTCTCCCGTCGGAGACCCCGGCTCGCTGGTCCGAATCCCACCTCCGCCCTCCCACGAGCGCTCCCTGTACAGCGGTGGGCACAGGGCGAGCGCAGAGTACCTGAGGAACGAAGACATTACAACCAAACACCATGAGAGTGCCATGAGAGACAGCGACACGTCCATCTCCATCCCCTCGGTAGACCACGAGGAACTGGAGCGCTCTTTCAGCGGCTTTAGCATCTCCCAGTCCAAAGAGAATTTGGACATCCTTAACAACGGTTGCTATGCAGCCGTGGCCAAAATCAGACCCTACATTGCAGAAGGGGAGTCAGACACCGATTCTGACCTCTGCACGCCCTGTGGTCCCCCTCCCAGGTCGGCCACGGGCGAGGGACCCTTCAGTGACATGGGCTGGTCAGCCCCCCGGCAGTGAAGCCTTCCTGCAGCCGCTGAGCCACGTCCAAGCGCTGGCAGCTGCCTGCTCCAGCTGTCCACATGCTGAACTTCTCAAGGAGATCGACAGCTAAGGTTTTCCTCCTCCTAGGACATCCTTAGCTGGCAGATACTTTCTTGCAGCTTACTCTGGGTGGGGGAACGAGCAGGTCCAAGCCTGCGGTTGTGGAAGAGGTCACGGTGGTGGGCCAACTGGAGCCGTGAAGTCCAGATTTCTTTCATACTCTCTTTCTAAGATCATTAGGTGAAATTATTTCATGGCGCAGGGTAGGCAATTTGCATTTCTTGGGAATCTTCAGAAGCACAGGGCAGGAATAAATCACCCAGCCAGGGCTTTTGTAGATCACAGGAACTGGTGGCTGACAAGTGTTAGGTGGGAGTTGCTACGTCATGGCACCCGTGATTACACCTTTAGGTGTTTTGGTGTTTGGAATTCACACATTATTTCCGGCTTAGATTTCAGATCACGTGTAATTACAGGGGGTTGGTACTCTGTGGTTCCTCATTAGCTGTCAGGAAGGTGGCATAATTCCAATATAATATATGGAAATGTTGCATAGAGCCCCCGGAGGAGAGGGATGGTGGCCAGGATATCTGCATGAGCAAAAGACATGGCCTTGGAGTGGGATAGGTTAGGATACTGCTCTGGACCAGAACAGTTTGGAAACTATCCCATCTTAGGAAACTGAAAAACTCAGAACTATCATCTTGAGTGCAAGAAGAGGGACAGGGGGCAGAGAAAAGAGACAGAAGGAGGACAAGAGACTACAGGGCTGGAATTTTCTATTTTAAACCATGTATTATATTTAATTATCCCTCCTCCTGCTGACAAGGGACCTGGGGGTGCTTTGAAAGCAAAGACAAACCAAAGGCAACCCCTCTGGAAGGCTGCCATGGTGTGAAGCCATTCTCATGGCCATTGTGGAGGCACAGCCACCAGACCAGAGGGGGAGGGTGGATATGCAGGATTCTGTGGTCCCCGTGTTGCTGCGAGCTGCTGAGCTCCATCCTGTGGAAGCCCTGTTGGTCAGAATGGGCACTTTTCTTACAGTTTGCATCGTGCCTGAACACTTTTGCACACACTATGCCCGTGAAAATCTTCCTTTCTTCTTCTGCCCTGCCAAAAAACTCACACCCATGTTCTCGGGACATCCTTTGGTTTGTTTGGATCCCTCAAGCTGAGTTAAGAGGTTTTCTTCTTTGTCTTTCAGAAGCCTCTTACCCATGCTTGCCTGTGAGTTGTGCCAATCCAAGTCTGCCCCGTTTTATTGTTGTTCGAGTACTTCCTTTTGGAAAGATCGTTGTGTCATTACCAGGAACCTCAGTGGTGCGTTCAGCTGGGGGAAGGCGAGGGGAAAAGCGATGCTCAAAGTTTCTTTGGGGACCAAAACAAAGTCACGAAGTGATCCTTTACGTGGATAGATTGGTGGGGTTTTTCTGGAAGGGGGTGGATCAGGAGAGGTTGTGTTTGGGATCCATCTCCAGCACTGGGACGCCATGGCTGGCATTGTGCCTCTGAACCCTCCTGTGCTTTCACAGCCCAAATCCCACACGTGTTTCCTGCTGGGGCTGGGGCTGTGATTTCAAACCCTGTCTTGCCACATTTTCCCTGTCATATCAAGAGCCTGTTAAGGACATTTAGGTGAGAATTTCATTTCTGTGTGGCCTTTCAGAGGTTGAACATCGGCTTGCTCGGGTCAAAGGGAGACTCACAGCCTGTTTCTCTCCACCTGTTTGCTTGACCAGGCACAGTAACCAGGAGAGACCCAGGATGATTTCAGCCTTAGGGAAGATGTGGGTGCAGTCTGAATGCTTGCAGACAGGAAATAAAACTGTTCTTTTGCTAGTGCCCAGGACCAACACACAGGTCTTCACATGAACTGAGGAAGGGGAATAAAGGTTCTGTGCAATTTTTCCTGCCATTTTTCACCATTCAGGAGGGGAAAACATTTTTCTTAGGGGGACCCTGGGCTTCCAGCCATGCTACTTTCTTTCTTTACCATTTGAGCCATATTTTGGTTAACTTCTGCAATTTTTCCCTCTCTGCTTGTGCTCCAGAACTCTTTTTGGCTCCAGATTACTTTGTGCAGAGTGAAAGCAGCGATGCCCTTGACTTCCACACGCAGGCAACTTTAAATGCCAAATGGCTGTAAATTGTGCAGATTTGCCTGTGGCATGTTCCAAAATGAGATGCCTTCTGGTAGAGCAAGAAGTGTCAGCAAGTCCTAAATCAGACTTGGTGGCCTGTGTTTTCTACTGCCCACAAGAATAGAAATTGCATTAGGTGAGGCAAAAATCAACATTGCTCCAGCCAGCTGCTCACTGCAAATTTTGTCCAAGTCAGAGATAACAAAGATTTATTGTCTTATTTGTTTGCAATTACCTTTCAAGGCCTGCTGGAAATTTGTCACAGAAGGGTATGATATAAAGGCAAGAATGCCAGATGAGGCTGAGGATGATGTCATGCAGTCCTGTTGCAGCACAGGTACACGACTGGTCTTTTTTCATAGAGTCACAGAATCATAGATTCATAGAGCCATAGAATGGTTTGGGTTGGAAGGGACTTTAAAGCTGATCTTCAGGGCCTGCATGGGAAGAATTAAGTTTACCCTCTTCAGCTTACTGGAGTCTATAAAACACATCTTTTAACGTGTATCTTTAAAAGTTGTTGGATTTGTTCCATAATCACTAATTGCAGAGAACTGGTTTTATACATATGCAACACAGATCATATCTGGCTGCAACATATTTCACACAGAATTTTTTTTGAAACGTGTAAGATTTATTCCACCTTTTTCTGTGGCTTCATATCAAAGAAATTCTGACACACACCTCCATCCACAAGCATGCCATAAATAATCACTTCTCATTCACCCAGACCTGGATTTGGGGGTTAACTTATACCAGAATTAGCTGCAAATAATGCTCCTTATTTCCCTGAAATGATTTAAGCCTGCAGAAACAATGACATTGCCTGCTTGTTGCTTACTGACATAAATAATTTAATTCCTGCCCTAAATTGTAGTCCACTACTCCCTGCAAAGTCTTCACCTTCAGCCATTCAGCTCCCCCATGCCTGTATCACTCAGTCCTGGTGATAATCTCCCATAAGAAATCTTAACTACTAGATTAAAAGAAAGGAAATCAGTTTTGCTAATAAAGCAATCCCAATTTTAAAGGTCCCAGCAGGCTTTAAGAGGATGGACAAGCAAACTTTGTCCCACTGCTGAGCCTCTCTTGGGGTGGTCTTTGCTCCCCTCTCCCTCCCAAGTCTTGTTGCATGTTTTTTGAAGGACAGAAACAAGTTTTAGGCAATGCCAAGTGTGGACAGAGGAGTCCAAAGAGAGCTGAAGAAGAAGTGAAAGCCAAATTTCCAGCAGGCCATCCATCTTGAACTGCTCCAGGGATGCCCATGTCCCTGTGTGGTTCTGTGCCCAGAACCTGGTTTCCAGATATGTCGTGAAGCCATGACCTTGGATCAGAGCCTGGGATCTGGTCTCCAAGAAGGTTTTGAGTGGGCTTTTTTTTTTTTTTCAGAATCTGGTTCTAGGTCTAGGGAGAAATACTGCAGTTGACTCCCCCCTGTGGGATGGAGCAATGTCTGGGACTGGGACCTGAACCCACAGTCAGTTTTTGGGTGCCTCAGGTACAAGTGTGAGTTCAGGTGGTCTGAGGAGTTCATGTCTCTGACCAGGCTACGTGTCTGGAGATGTTGCAAGGTGGCCTTTCATAATGTGACCCCAAACACAGGAACAGAGCACAGCCATAAGTCAGATTTCCCAATATTTGGGAAGGGACTTTAATGTTACTCAAGTGCAGATTTTGTATGTGAATTTCCTTGTTGAATCATTTTCTTAATAATACTTTTTAAAGCTAAAAATGTCAAGGAGCTCACCGAAAACAAACCTCTTGTCCAGCTTAGAAAGCCATTATATTTCTTTAGGCAGACTATGTGATAGATCAGATTTTCTAAAAATGTGTTTTATTTCAAACGCTACTTAATAGATCCAGGTAAATTCTGCAGGGTCATTACTATTTACAGATAAATAGGTATATTTTTACATTTTTAATTGATTTTTAAAATTTTAAATTATGTGAATTTTTAGAACAAGTTTATATTATCTACCTGAGAAGCCAGAGCATCACCTCAGATACAAATGCTCCCCTTCCAGCCAGTTACCCAAGAGAAAAGAAGAACACCTTCACTCATACTTTTTCCTAGAGAGAATTACTGGAAACCTCATTTCCCCGATATCCTCAGACTACTTTGGTCACAGCAACATTATTGCTAAAACTAAAATGTAAAAATTAAAAAAGAAACTGAAATTCCTAAGGACTTTACCCAAATGTTGTCCCATATGAAGACCCTTAGCAGTGAGTATTTTTTTGGGAAATGTTAAAAAGCCCAGGAGCAGGATAAGGATTTCTGTTTCTCCCTCATATGAACCCTCAGGCTGAGAGTGAAGCCCTGAGCCTCCAACCTTTCCTTGCCAGCACAGCCCTCCGACCACAGCTGTGCTCCTGCATCCTCTCCCATCCCCTCTCTCCATCACAGGTCGGCATCTTCTGTTTTCATCAGCATCCTTTTCCTGAACCAGAAACAAGGAAATCAGATACAAAAGCTCCTTCACCTGCAGGTAACATTGAGGCTGCAGAGGGCCGTGGTGGAGGGCTGAGGGCAGCAGCCCCTCCGAGCCCCGCGAGGTCACCGCTGCTCAGAGGTGTAAAAGCAAACTCTTGCTTTTAGCACACAAACACCCCGACTTTTCTGCCTCACAGAGCAAAATCTGCTTCGAGCAGGGGTGTGGGCTCATTGGTTTTTTTAACAATAACAATAGGGTGGGTTTTTAATAATAAGGATAATAATACTGCATAGGAATCTTCTTTAGTATATCTTAGTGTTTGATGCCCCAGTGACACAATACTGCTTGCCTTATATTAGTGTCTAGAGGGAGAGGGATTACACACCTTTTGATACACTATTAATCACGCTTCTAATTTAGGTAGCAGCGGGGTCCTTTTTAACCTATGAATGTGCTTTCTGGACTATCTCACTGACTGTACTCTCAATTTTGCCTGCTACTGCATGCAGCCTGAGATGAGTAGACAGCAGTATGCTCCAGCTGTATCTGCACTCCCAGATTGCTGTAGTACCTGACAAGGTAGCGTTGCCAAAAGCATCATTTTGGGGAGAGCCTGTCCCCACAGTGACCATCTCGTACGGTGCTGCGGTGCTTCTGTAGGTAATACTGATATACCAAGTGTTTTTCATGCTGCAACCAGTCACTGCCCCATCCCTCTGATACAGCATGCACAGATTCCACCTCTGCTTGTAACTACGGGGTAAAAGAACCATGTTTGTACCTGTGGTTCCTTCAAACGTGCACATGGGGAGGAAAAAATATGAATTGTGTTGGCCGTGTGTAACAACCTCCTTTCCATCCAGATGCCTCTGAAAAAGAGCATCCCAGATACCCCTTTCTGAGGGTCCAGAGGAGCAGGCAGTGCCAAGGATGGAGGACTGGTCTTAATTTCAGAGATGCCATTTGAACCCACATGTGTGGGACTTGCCATATGTCTGTTTTAATTTCCACAGGACACTCTCACCTGCACCCTGCTTTGGGGTGCATGTGCGTTTGTGCCTGCAGCACAGCCTGAGGGGCAGGGGGGTTGTCACTCCAAAAGTTTGGAAATCCCTCTTTGAAAGTTTCATTCGCCCTTGTCTACAGCCCTTGGTGGTCTTGGGGACCCTGCAGCTGTGCCATAGCCATTCCTCATGGAAGCATCTCTTACTCTCCTCATGGAGTGGCACTGAGCTACCTTTTTATGTCCATAAATGTTTTTCCACTGTTTTCCCCACTTTAATACCAGACTGTCATGAGGCCTTCAGTGTTTGCCCATCTTGCTCGTGTTTGCAGTCTCTGTATCTCTTGGCACTGCTGCCATGATCTGGTTTGACCCTGGTCCTATATCCTCACCTTCCTTATCCATACTATTTACCAGTGAAGCTGTAATGCCAGAACTCTGCACTGGGACTTGCTGTTGGCCTGACATCACTAGATGCAGCAGAGAGCCTTCATATTTGGTTAGCATGACAGTTTTGCTTTTTATTGGCATTTTATTTGCTTCCTTATTGAGCCACCATGGCCTCAACACATCCCTGGTTTGTTCTGCTGGAGCCTTTCCACCCAGGGATGGAGTCTGTGTTGTCCCTCTGTGCAGTGCCCTGTGAGGGTTTGTCCCCATGGCTTTTGCTGATTGCAGTGAAACAAGGATGAGGGTTCCGTTCAGGTTTTCTTGTCCAGCTGAACATCTCAGAGAAGAGCTCACAGGCTCTACCACTGTGGATGCTTTTGTTTCCTGAAGCAGGAGCTGTTTTCAAGACCCCCATCCCCTTTAGTGACCCATACGTGTGGCTGTGCATGGCAGGCTTGATAATGGGGAGAACTGGAAAGCAGCTGGTGCAAGCTGTGCTGTTTCCAAAGCTGCCAGTGAACCTGCAAGCATCTTACCCTCTCCCAATTCCTGTAAATACAGCTGCAGATTAATTTCTCGAGCAGCATCTGTTTGCCTAATGCTGAGAAACTTGAGCTCACTGCAGAGCTTTCCAAAACTCAGTGCCAAGCTCAGGCTGGATTTCACCTGCAGCTACACTGATAATTTTAGGGCAGGGCTAATGATTTCAGGTAGAAGCCATGTCAGAATCTCCAGTTTATGTGGTTCTGACCCCAAAACAAGGCTGAATGTCATGCTGCCAACAAAGCCTGCCTTGGAATTTCAGCTCCATTTGACACTGATGACTCTGGACCTGGGGAGATGTTCTCTTCTTCCCTCTCCACACAAGAAAAGGTCAGCACAAGCCTTGCAAGCCACAATGGGAAAATGCCTCCTTACTTTGATATGCCATGGGCACTTCCCATTAAAGCAGAAGCAGCATTTCATGGTGATCCCTTAAACTTGACCAACACAGTGGCTATGACCCAGTGTTTTCCACGTGCAGTGATGCTCATGAAAAGGGTTTATCACAGATGTGGATATGGAGGTCTCAGTCCTTTAGCATCTCTGTGAACACCATACTCAGCCTTGCTGAGGACAAGTCATCGAGGCTGGTGACAGGTCTTTTCAGTCCTGCCTGGTTATTCACACTGGTCCAGCATCTTCCCTGGAGCTGAAGTTATCCCATGCTCCTGTCAGCAGGCAGAATGGAGACCTTTCCGTGTTGGCTACTCTTCCCTCCCCAACAAACCCTAAAATTTGAATTTTTTTCACTTTTTCTCAAAAAATTCACGCACAATGTAGACTACCTGAGACCTTCAGGAACACTGAGGCAAAACCAGATATAGCTGATAAATGACAGAGATTTTGTTATTTTAAATCAAGAGCATGTAAAGCATAGTGGCAGTTGCTGCGTGGTATATCAAATGCTTTAGGAGATTCAATAAATTATTCTTATAAATGTCTCATTCTTTTATCAGTAATTTGTATAGGTGGGTGCCGCTGTTCTTATGCAGCAATGCTCCACACACTAAAACTATACTCCTGTTTCTCCAATATAGACGTTGTATTTATGAAATTTATCTTGCTTAGTGTCACTTTGGCACATTATCCACGTGTGCTGCACACAGATTGCACATTACATGCCATATGCTGGTAGGTATCTCTACATGTAATCAGCGTATGTGCGT